TATATCTGGCTAATAGCAGTTGATAAAACGCATTTCGCTGATCAATTTATTAAGCATCATTAAATGTAAAAAAATGGCTAAATTACTAATTGTTAATCCAAATTATTAATCTTGCATAAATTAAAACAAAAGAATGGTACATTATAGTTGTTTACGTGAACTATTCGTTTTCAACATTCCATTTCTGCCAACTTTAAAAGTGTCTGCTGCGCATTAAGAAATCATAGGACCACAAACGGGTTTGTTGATTTCTGGTGAAGAAATAATAATATGCAAAGTATTTGCATATATTTCGCAAGACTAAAATTCTTTTAAAAGCATTTTCTGTAGTATGTGCTAATATTAAAATTTCCTTAAATTCAAAAAAATTTACTAAACTTTCTGAAAATGGAATCGTCAGAAGTAATGTGGCCATATAGTATTTGGTGAACGCATTATCTGACAAGTAAAGGTACCGGTTTCAGTTGCATTATTCACAACTAGTGGGCTGTGCCCTCTGTTCGCTAACGCTCGCCAACCCCCGAAAATTGCTACGTAATCTTATATGGTTTGCTTCGCAAACCAAGCTCGCTTCGCTCGCTACTAACTTAGGTACATTGCAAATGCACAAAATTCTAAGAATTCAAAACAATCATTCAAATCCATATAAAAACTTTTTTTTNGGGGCCCCTATGCTTCACTTTTTCAGTAATGAAGAACAAAACTTTATGGAGGTATTTAAATTTTTCACCTCATTATAGATAAAATAATAAGAAAATTGACTACAACTTAAAATAGCTATAAAGTCCCTCCCCCCTTCAATGGTCAGACAAAATGTCGTTCCGTCAATTTTGTTGATTGACAATTCCATGTCAATCATGCCGAATGCAGTTTTCTGATTGTCCTCTAGCTGTGAAAAATTTATATCCTTGCTGACATTAGGACAAAATTCCGCAAAATTTTCGCAATTACACTGGCTCAATTAAGCCAATCAAAATTCTGTATTTTTGTAAACATATCGCATTTCGCGATGTGTAAAAATACAAGCTTTTGATTGGCCAAATTTATCCATCGTAATTACGAAAATTTTGCTGAATTCTGCCCTAGAAAGCCATGGATTTACGAAATATAGATTTTTTTTAGTTTATACTACAGTTTAATGAAAAAGTTAACATAAAATTGACGGATTTCACATTGTACTGATATTTTTTTAAAAAAATGTTTATTAAAGAAAGAAGCTTAAAATAAACTTTCTACTCGATTTGGGGGGCCCCTCTGATGTGGGGGCCCGGGGCAACTGCCCCTTATGTCCCTGCCTTAGTCAGGCTCTGCCTGTAAGGGCTTTTAAAAAATGAAAATCGAAAATAAGCACCTTTAGGCACTTTTTAAAAACGCTACGTACCATGTGTAATATGATAATTATTTGAGAAAGTGCAAAAATGTCTATCTATTCACTTGATGAAAATTTTTTTAAATGGACATAAATATGCCAAAAATTTAGTGCAGCAATAGAAGATGCGTTGGAGTAATAGACAAAAGCCAGTGACCAAAAACTTCACACCATTTGCATACGATGGTGATATAATTATTCGAGGAAATGCCAAAATGTCTATCCATTCACTAGATGATTTTTTTTAAATGGACATAAATATACCAAAAATTTGGTGCAGCAATAGAAAATTTGTTGGAGTAATAAACCAATAGCCAGCGACCAAAAACTTCACACCATTTGCATACGGTGGTGATATAATTATTCGAGAAAATGCCAAAATGTCTCCATTCGTTAGATGAATTTTATTTTAATGGGCATAAATATGCCAAAAATTTGGTGCAACAGAAGAAAGATGCGATGGAGTAATAGACCAAGAGTCAGCTACCAAAAACTTCACACCATTTGCTTGATGAAAATTTTTTAAATATGTCAAAAATTGGGTATAGCAACTCGCATCATTTCCTTATATTTCATTTGATCATTAATAATTTCAGGAGTCACTGGCTCCCGCAAGAATTAATTAATTGCTATAGTAATTAATTGCTTTTAACATTTTCTTTTTCATTTAAAACGATTGCAAATAATGTTTGTTACGTGTCAACTTGAATCGACTCAGATTAATAAACTGATCACCAATTTAAAGTTAAATAAACATTTTTCCTTTTTCTTTGCTAATTAGAAGGGATAGTATAAGAAAAAAAAAACTCTTCGATAAAATTAAAAAAATAAAGAACCAAAACTTTTTATTCTTTTGCGCTCATACTTTTATTTAATTTTAATAAATTTTTAAAAACTGATTTTCATGAAATTAAGCTTTCTAACAAGAAAATATTTGGTACAAACGAAATATTTTATCAATAATAGAAATATGATTTTAAACAAATTTTATTCTAAAGTTTTAGGTCTTTCTGAAGCTTAGAAATTTTAGAATTAGGTCAATTGTTCTTTACATTTAAATTTAAGAATATTTCCTTTCATATATTTTCCCATTGTCTGATTTCTGCTTAAATTATTTATTCATTTTTACAAAAAAAACAAATTTAAAATATGGATTTATATTATTGTATAACTTTCCGACTTTTCTTCTTCATTTTTATTTGCTTAGTTTATTTATTCATTTATTTATTTTGTTCCCGCAGAGCATTATTTTCTTTATAAAGGGGCAAGAAGTCAAGCAGTTTGCTCCGGGTAACATTTCCCCTCTGCCTGTTCTAATGAGTGGATTTTAACTTACAAATTGCTAATCATAATGGTTCAAATGGTAGATACCAAATATGCTAATTAATACGTTTTAACTATTAATTAAGATGCCATAATTCGTCACAAAAATGTTCTTTTTCTGAAAAAGTATGCCTTTTTTTTTGAGGGATTTCGATTTTTGACCAGCAAAGTATTGCGACTGCCACAATTTTATGAAAATATGGTCAGAATATTTTCGAACATAGTTATAAAATAATTTAAATAAATAGTTAGTCAGAAAAGGGGTGGAAATTTTGAGCACATTAATGTTAATTTCACTTACCCCGATTTCCGCATATTTCTGAAACTCTTTTTTAAGGAAATTCAAAAAATCTGGCAAATATAAAAACAGATATAAAATTCGTATATCTAAAGGCGAAAAAATTCATTTACTGTTTTATTTGATAATGGTCAAACAAAACTTTTTGAAGACACACAAATTTTTACATCTTTTTAAATTTTCTAATTTAAAATAACAAAACAGAAAATTTGTGTTATAAATGGCCGAATAATTTCTGTGTTATAAAATTTTAAAATAATCGTATTTTAAGACTTTTATTTCTCCAAATTCAGTTGTTTATTCATAGATTTAAAATATGGTAAAAGTAAAAAATATAAATAAATAAATCAAAAAAATATTAGGTTTTAATTAAGCCTATGGAGAGAAAAAAAACTGACTTCAAATATTTNTTAGTCAGAAAAGGGGTGGAAAATTTGAGCACATTAATGTTAATTTCACTTACCCCGATTTCCGCATATTTTTGAAACTCTTTTTTAAGGAAATTCAAAAAATCTGACAAATATAAAAACAGATATAAAATTCGTATATCTAAAGGCGAAAAAATTCATTTATTATTTTATTAAATAATGGTCAAACAAAACTTTTTGAAGACACACAAATTTTTACATCTTTTTAAATTTTCTAATTTTAAATAACAAAACAGAAAATTTGTGTTATAAATGGCCGAATAATTTCAGTGTTATAAAATTTTAAAATAATCGTATTTTAAGACTTTTATTTCTCAAAATTCAGTTGTTTGTTCATAGATTTAAAATATGGTAAAAGTAAAAAATATAAATAAATAAATAAATAAAATATTAGGTTTTAATTAAGCCGATGGAGAGAGAAAAAACTGACTTCAAATATTTTTCTTTTGAAAAAAAATAAGTAATCAAAATTAAAATATTTTTAATGCAAAAAACCATTTTATTGCTTGGGTAAGAATCTACTTGTTCCTGCCCGTATTCCAAAAGAGGTGAAAGTTAATAAAAATATTACAATTATGTAAGGCCAATGAGAAGAAGAAAAAAAAAAAACCTAACTGTCGGCAAATATTTCGCTTTGTCTTTTGCATACATGAAGAAAAAAAAATAATAATAAAATCTAAATTCATTAAAAGATTTTTAATGACAGAAACTTTTTATGACTTTTGAAAGAAACTTCGGAGTTCATAAATTTAAAATAAGACATTGATAAAAAAAAACATTAGGCCTACATAAATATAAATAAACAAATAAAATAAGACGAAACAGCTAACAGTCGGCAAATACTTTTCTTCAATTTTACTCCCATGAAAAAGGTAACCAAATTGAAATAATTTTTAATACCGAAAACATTTCATTGCTTGAGATCTAAACTAGTTGTTTGTTCATAGCTTAAAATTAAGGTAAAAGGTAATTAAAAAAAAAGAATTTGATTATGGAAGAAAAAATCTATTTCAGGTGTCAAGTATTATTTATCTTTTGTACGCAGAAAAAGGTAATCAAATTTAACGAATAGTTTTAGAGCCAAAAAAAAATTTGATTGTTAGGGAAATAAACAAGTTGTTTGTTCACGGAAGCAAAATAATGTGAAAATTAACCTTATAAATATTCAAAAAATAAAAAATTCCAGATGATTTCAATGCAAGGAAGAAAAAAAAATAAAAAATTATTTGTTTACGCAGTATTGCTGATAGAAAACACCGCTTTTACTACAATAATGCGATTTTTACTCTAACCCCTAAACCCTCCAGCCAATAGTAAGATTCATCAGTACCGTGAATGAAAATCAACATAAATAAATTGTAAAATAATTATTGAAAAGACGATTGGAAAGATAGAAATTAACTTTAAACAACATTCAAACATTTAAAAAATATAAATTCGTGAAATAAATAAATAAAAGTTGATATGAATGAATGAATGAAAATAACAAAGAGAGGAAGAAAAAAAAACTAAAACATAATTAGCCTGCCAGAAACATATGCAATTTGTTCCGCGCACCCACCCGAAAACATGAATGGAATCCTCTTAAATTTCGCTCACGAAATCTGGAATCATGATATCGATCATTTAAAATATTTTTTTCACTAGATTTTCTCAGTTTTGTACTTTATAAACTTATATATCAACAATCATTTCCTCTAAAAATTCAATTTTGAGTGTTAATCAAGAGCAGAATAATTCACTTTCTTTCTTAACAGACGGGAGAGCGAGTTAATACTGTGCGACAACCCGACGAAAAAAAATCTTCTGTGTAGTGCGCGCTTACAATCAAAACAATGGCTTTGCTCTAATTCATCAAAACCAATTAAAGAAGAATATTTGTTCGAATTCGTACGAAGACGTATTGATTTTGCTAAATTAATCTTCATGAAGTCCCAGAATTGAGCAAATAAGTTTTAAAATAACGATTTTTCGAGAAACTATATGCCGAAGGTAGTGTTACGCGGTGTAAACTGGTCCATTTCCTGTGTGTTTTGTTGAATTGGAGTTTTGGAGGTACGGGAAAGTATGGTTAGGCTTATGAATTGACTTCATCCTATTTTGTGGCTGGATTATTCGATATCTTTTATAAAATGAAAAGAGAAATTAAGAAAAATAATGGAAGGTAGCCACGAAGAGTAAGTTTGATTTCATTATATGTTATTATCATTGAGAAATCTTCGTTAGGAATAGGCTTAGTGGCGACGCTAATATACCCTGTGGCTCAATTCGCATCTTTGGATTTACTATTTAAAATTTTATTCTTTGTCCTCTCTTTCTATTTTTATGAAATTAGTAATAATGTAGTGTGATGGATCCTAGATAAATTAATTTACATAAAGTGACTACGATCCGAAGGTCGAGATGTTATTGAGGTCAAATTCATTTTTCTCAATGGACGGAAGTTTGTGAATGAATGTGTGACTTTACGTTATGTTAAACTGGTACAGATGCATGTGGACAGAAAAGCTACCGCCTTTAAGTATTTTTCTATACATGTCTTTAATGCTTATGAAATTTTAAATCACTCGACATGTTTTAGTATTTATTTACTTGTCAATCTTTCTGTTTTTTAATTTTTATTATAGAATTTTTTTGTTCTTTTAATGAGTTATAATTTTCTTTACCTATCAGTGTGAAATTATTTGTAATTTTTTTCCCCTTATGAATACACTGAATTTTATTTTCAAATGGTATGGAACTATTATTTTTATTAATTATTTTAATTTTATAACTAATTTTTTTTATTTATTTATTGATTCTGTCATAAGTTATGATCTGTACAATTTTGTGATCTTTTCTAACAACAGCAGCTTTAAAGTTGATTGCTTATATTGAGCAAAGAAATATTAATATTTTTGGAATTTTTATCCAAATTAAAGCTTAGAAAATTATTATGAATTGCTATTTTTTTTTATCCAGTCATTGAAATCTAAATTTGATTCCTAGTTATAAATTGAAAAAAAAAATAATATAATGTAAGGTATGAATATAATGTAAGGAATGAAACATTTTCTTGTTTCATCAATATTTGTAGTGAATAAGTGAATGAATGATTTAAGGAATGGGAGAAGATTTTTGATTTTTAACTAATACTTTTTAAAAAACTTTCACTCACTATCTGTAGAAAGACATTTTATAATCCTTTATAAATATTTAGATTAATTACAAATTAAAACTAAGATCTTTCTTATAAAACAGTAAATATGAAAAATGGTTAGCCTTTAAAGTGTGATTAATTCACCTTAAGTGTAATTCACTTAAAGTGCTAACTACTTAAATGATGTGTTACTCCGTTCATTATTTGTTGAAATTTTTTGAATCTAAATTGGTTCCTAGTTATAAATTGAAAAAAAAAATTATGTTTGAATATAATGTACCTAATGAAACATTTTCTTGTTTCATCAATATTTGTAGTGAATAAGCAGGGGTCTGTCCAGGCCGAATTTGCTACCGTTTAGCAGTACCTTCACAAATTCAACTTTAGGAAAAACGGTAGTTTCACAAAATACTTTTTCTTAAAATTTTATTTTTTTATCCCTTAAGAAACGATAAATCCATATTTTTGTGTTGATTTTTTAATATAATTTTTAATCTTTCACAAATTATGTCTAAATTTTCACAAAATAGGTACCTCTCAGAAAAACCTAGACAGACCCCTGAGTGAATGATTTAAGGAATGAGGGAAGATTTTTGATTTTTAACCAATGCTTTTTAAAAAACTTTCACTCACAATCTGTAGAAAGGCAATTTATAATCCTTTATAAATATTTAGATTAATTACAAATTAAAACTCAAATCTTACATATAAAACAGTAAATATGGAAAAGGGTCAACCATTAAAGTGTTATTAATTCACATTAAGTGTAATTCACTTAAAGTGCTAACTATTTAAATGATGTGTTACTCCTTTCATTAGGATTTATTGAAATTTATCGACTTGATCAAATCTTTCTCATCTTAAAATACTTTTACCTTAAGATTCTTACAATTGTTTGGAAGTGTTATTTATGATAGAAATGATAAAATCTTACTCATCTTAAAATTAACGCAGTAAAGGTGAATATTTTGTCTTCAATTTTATTTACAAATTCACTTAAAGTGCTATTTACAAGAGTGTAATGTAATTCTGTTAATAACTTGAGGAAAATGTACACAAAAAATTCACTAATCTTAAAATTAGCATTGTGAATATGTTTGTATATGAATATGTATGTGTGTGTGTTAGATGTTCAAAATTTAAATAGTATTGATTATTAAAGATTTTTAATGTAAGATTATTCCGAAACCAGCTTAAGATTAGATCATTTCAAAAGCCAGTTGAAGTGTTAATTACAATGAAAAAGGCATAATTAAAATGAATGTTCAGTTTAATGATTTAAGGGTGCACAATACAGATACGTTCGTCTAAAATGCAATAAATTATCTATTGCTGTTTAATGTTGGAATCTTTTTCGGCATAAATTTAATTATGATAGCGCAGAATTCTTTCATATGAATGTCAATTTTCTTGTTGGAAAACAACGGTTATAGCTCTTGGAAATGCATTGATTTGTCTCTCTGAACTGCCAGTTTTTCTAGTTTTGTTATTCATCTTAATTTTATTTTCTATTTTTGTTAACTTTGTATTTTCTTTTTCAAATCAGTTTCGTTTCTCTCATTTACGCCTGACTTGTCTAAAAAAAGTCTTCTATTTCTTAGCACATTTTAAATATTTCACCTTTATAATCTTTGAAGTTAATGAAATTTTTACTTTATATATTTCTGCCTCAGTTTCTTGGAATTATTCTTTATATTTCTATGTTTTACATTGCAACAAATTCTATTTAAGTGCTGATTACAATTGAAACGAAATATTAACAGAAATCAATACAAAATATTATTGTCCATTCTGGTTTTTTTGGCTATAGCATATCTTAAAATTAACTCTGTATAGATTATTCTTGTTTATGTTTGATGATGCTGTTCAAATTTAAAAGAGTTCATTAAATTTTAAATTTGTGTATTTTAAAAAGCATAATTTATGTATAGCTAAATTGCGAATTTATTTGTTTAGTTCAATCATTTTTCACTCACCCATTACAAAAACGATTTAAATTCTAAATATGCTTTTAATTATCTTCATTAAAATTTCATGAATAAATTGAATATTTAATAATTATGATGATTGGATATTATAAATTGGATTAAATTATTAGGATCTGGATAAGATGTGAAGAAAAAAAAGTTGAATTTCTTGTAGTGAATAAATATTTTATTGAATTATATACTGTTATATGTCTTTTCTGGTTCCTTTGTCATTTTTTGACCTGTAGCATGATTTCATGCATTTAAAATTTTTGTTTTTTGCTAGCCAAGACATGATTTAGGTGGTTTTTGACTTTGTTTTAAACTGGTTCGACACGATTTCTTGCATTACAATAATTAGAAACAGCAAATTTGATAAATTTAATCTGTCAGCAGTCTAAAGTTGTTATTTGCAAGTTTGCATCAATTAATGCCTTTGTGTCTTCATCAATTTGGACTCTCCGTGCAAAATGTAGTACATCTTTAATGTCAAAATAGCCTGTTCAAAATTTTGCAAACCAGTTTTAACACATATCAGATAGTTTTTTTTGTTTGATTAACATTTTTTCCTTTTCAATTGTAAAGTAAAATATGCCAAAAATGTTTTCATATTTGATAGAGTAGGACCACTGCAAGCAATTTCTTGCTATAACAGTTTTCAAAATCTATAATGGTTAAGTAGTTTTAAGTGTAGTTAACTTTGTCCTCTTTTCTTCCAAATGTCTCCAATTCTCCCAGTTGTTCTCCAATTATGTGCGAATTTACTTCCGAACAATCCAATAGTATTCAGGGGTCTGTCTAGGTTTTTCTGAGAGGTACCTATTTTGTGAAAATTTAGACATAATTTGTGAAAAATTAAAAATTATATTAAAAAATCAACACAAAAATATGGTAAAAATATGAATTTATCGTGTCTTAAGGGATACAAAAATAAAATTTTAAGAAAAGTATTTTGTGAAACTACCGTTTTTCCTAAAGTTGAATTTGTGAAACTACCGTTTTTCCTAAAATTGAATTTGTGAAGGTACCGCTAAACGGTACTAAATTCGGCCTGGACAGATCCCTGGTATTCTACAAAATACATGAATTGTTTGACACTCGCCTGCGAATTTCAGAAATGGAATATACCTAGTGTGTATATTTTTTACTCTCTATTTTTTTTTTTTTTTTTTCCATTACAAATCTACAAACAATTCTGTAATCAACATTTTTGTAAAGATAGTTAGTTTTGTACTATAGATTTGTCTACTTCTTAGATTTTTACAAATATCTTTGTTTTTTTTGTAGTTTATGTCAAAAGAATTTTTCAGGTTAATCAAGATTGATTTTCAACAGTTTTTTAAACAATATGAAATTTAAGTTTTAAGAAATTTGAAAGCAAATAAATGGTAATTATTAAATTACTTACCTAAAAATTACTAACCAAATAATTTTATTTTACATTTTTGAGGAAACATTCACTTAAGCTCAAAAAAATTACAAGAAATATTTTTTTTCCCCTTATTTAATGAAGCATAACTTTTTTTTAACTGTAAATTTTATGTTTCAAACTGTCTGTTTTATCGTTACAAAATAGTATATTTCATTATGTTTGTGAATGTTTATCATTCATTACCAGGTCATTACTTTTATATAACATATTCATTTCAATTCTCTTTATTCATTATTTTATTTAACAAAAAGGAGAAACTAATAAACATTCAAACAGTAAAGTGAAAATGTGTGTGACTAGCGATATTTAGAGGTTCAGAAAATTCTCAACCTAATATTTCCCCAGAAAAGTTTTTTCTACTAAAATAATCCCGCTTTTTTTCTTTCACAAAATGAAAAATATTAGTTTGATTTTACACAATTTGTTAATAAATCAACATATGTTTATCAAAATATAATGAAATTGTAATAGTTTAAAACTTAATTTAGAATTCTAACTTACAGAATTCTAACTAATGCACAAAGTGACATATAAAGTTTTTTTTTTTTTTTTTAATTTGACTAATAATTTCCCAAAGGTTGCCTGAATTTATTTCTCCTGAACATTGTTTGTTCAATCGGACGTATTCTGCAATACTGATAATATCTGTAAGTCACCGACTAGTATGCGAACCAGTAATTAAATTTCTACTCTTTAATATCTTAAGCAGATATATTTTTAAACTAATCCAGGACTAAGCTAGAAAAAAAAATTTGCTTTTGTGTTTTGGAGATGTTAATCATACTAATTCAAAATTCAACCCAATCCATTGAAAAATACTTTTAAAAAAAGTATTGTTTTTCTTTTACATTAATAACTGCTTTGATTGAGATAAACTTCTTGATTTTTCTAAAGTTGATGTGCATATTTAATAAGAAAAAGATTATAATTTCAAGGTCGTTGGGTTTTTTCCATGACCGGCCCTACTTTTTTTTCCAGACTGGCGCCTCTTGAAAAAGTGAAGGATCCCTCAACAAATCCTTTCATCCCTTTCTGATCCATTTCAGATATCTTGTTATTTAATAAATTATGATTATTTTAATAGGAATTTTTTTCTTCTTCCTTTTAGTGGGAATTACCTGGTGCGTGTGCGTGCCCAGGTTATGACCAGAGATGATTCTACAGGTGGCTGGGTACCAATGGGTGCTGGTGGGTTAAGTCATGTCTGTGTGTGCAAAGGATCTGTTTCAGGTGAAGATGATAAGCTAGAATATCTCATTTATGGCAAAAGGATAGCGGATCAATCGGTAAGTTTGAACCTATTGTTTCTTTTGACTAACTGTTGTTGGTTATGTGTTATTTTAAATGATATGTTTGAAGAAAATAAATAATTTAAAATTCATAAATTGTTGTGCTATGAGAATATCTTATTTTTTTAACATTTTAAAATTAAATGCATAGGTACTTAATCTTTAAGAATGAATTTTTATTTTTAAATGTTGAAGAAAATAATGCAATTACTGCATTACATTCATCTTTCAATATTGTTTCTGAATACATTTTTGTTTTGTGTCCTTTTGAGGTGTACCAAGCTATTGCATGGTCCACTCAGCAAGTCTTTTTTTTTTAAATTATTTAAAAAATTAGAATAAGCATTTTGAAATTAAATCATAAATAAGAGAAGGTAAGTAATTGAACTGATAAAACTCTTATTGTGGGAGTATTGTTTTAGCGATAAAAACTGAAGAGTGAACCAACTAGTCTCGGTTTCCCCTGTGTTTCTCTTACGTGATGCTAGGAATAAAAAAAAATTTCTGGGGGACTTCATTTGCAATTACTAATCATTATTTTGCGCTCAATCACTAAGCACACACTATTTTTTAATGGTGGATGCTGTGTATTTGTAATATAAATAAATAATAAAGTGTTTGTATTTGTACAAAATTATATATCTTATTGGAAACCATACATTAATGGAAAAAAGGCATTTAAGTAGTTTTTTAAACAGTATTTTGTTGTAATTGGAATTAATGGATAAATATTGGGCTTTAGTTTGTCCATGTCTCATTTATGTCTCATTGAGCCAATTAATTATTCATTGCACCACTCAAATTTCATAAGCCTGTTTTTAAAATTGTCTGGGAACTTTTGAAATCTCTCCACCCCCTTTAATCATGGTAGTACTGGTTTTTCTAAATAAATATTTGTGTCTATATTATGCATTTGTTAAAATTTATTATTGTAAAGAAAAATTACAAATTTGACAATAATTTTCTCTTTAGCTAAGAGTTTTATGAAGTTTTGTGTATGTAAATATCTTTCATCTTCATTTAAGTAATCTTACTATAATTGAGGTTTGGTTGCTAAGGTAATAAAGTTAATAATGTAAAATAATTTATTCGAAATATTAATTGCTTTAGGATTGTCATTATATTATAAAGGATACAATTCAGTTTCACTATTTCAGATTTTTTGTAAAAAAAAGTCCACTTTTGTGAAAGCATTTATTATAATTATGTTAATTTGAGCGTAAGATCCTAAATTAGTGAAAAATCTACTGATAATTTTTATGAATTTGTGTGTGTGTGGTCCTGTTTTTTTGTGTGTGTTTTTTTTAATAAATAAAATAACGAATTTAGGACATCATTCACTTTTTCTAAAGTCAAGTTTTACGAAAGGTTTGTTTTAACTATACAATTTTTGCAAAGGGTCTGTTCACTGACCCAAATTTCTACTGAAATATTCCCTGATTTTAAGTATTGTTTGAGTTTAGTGCAGATATACAATTGCAAGTTATTTTTAGCAGTTATAAAAAACAAGAAGTAGTTAAAAATTATCTGAAAAAAATCAGTCTACAACAATAACTACAAGAAATAATATGAAACTATCACAATTAACCATGAAATAATTATCAGTGGATCTTGTCCAATGAACCAATAATAATTCTATTTTGGATTTTCAATTTCAAGTTATGATCTTTGTCCAATGTTATATAGTCAGAATGTAAAATATTAAATCTAATTAGATATATCTAAACAGACCAGTAAAAATGTGTACAGATTAGCTTCGCCTTTTAGTTTCTAATCCTGTGAACCATTAATTAAAATTTCCTTATTTCCACACCTGCTTAATATTTACATTTTGTAACTCCTTTTTAACTACATTAAAAAAATTCTGTCTTCCTTTTGACTGAAAATAAGAGAAATGTGTGGTGTTTTGTGAGTTGTCCCTTCAGCCCGTTTACCCGAAGGTAAAAGTTGGCAACAACTATGCCAATTTAAAGAAATATAGATATTTCTGCCTCTTTAATAGTTAAGTCCTACTAGAGTAAATCAATTCAAGTCTAAAACTTGTGTACCAGTTTATAAGAACTCTTAATAAGTATAATTAAAAGAACTGTAACTTTGTTAAATTAATAACTTCAAATTATGTGTATAATATTATAAGCCTTCTCCAATTTTAACTATATTCTGTTTTATCTCTTTAAGGTTGTTCTAAGCTGTACGATAAAGAGGGATTTTCAATATAATAAAGTCATGCCAACTTTCCATCATTGGCGAACAGGTGATAAAAAATTCGGTCTAACCTTCCAAACTGCAGCAGATGCTCGGGCATTTGACAAAGGTGTCAGAATGGCTATTGAGGATCTATCGGATGGTAATGTTCTTTATTCAAACATGTGATTATGTATTTGATTTATGAGTTTTTATTATGATTAGAAATAGGGATGTAACGTTTATTCAGCTGCTATTCTATATTTGGCGCGTTGGCCTAATGTTCAGCTAAGTTTTTTTATTTTTTTTTTTTTTAATTTTGGAATTTTAAGCGATTAAATTAAGAATAATCTAAAATAGTATTGTTATTGTACATTATCTGATATAATTTTTGCACATATTTGTTAAGTTTTTAAAATTCAAGTGCTTGCAAATTTAAGAATAACGGAAAAGTGAAATTTTAAGAAATGAAACTAGATTACTTTATACTGCACCTATATAACATTATATTCAATAGATTAACGTATTATATCATTAGGGTAACATACTAAGCAATAATCTAAGCATACATGCAATAATCAATATTTTTGTTTTAAAAATTATGAGCATTTTTATAATAGTGTAGCATTTTAATGGAACATTTTATAATAGATTTTATACTTTTATTGTTACTTTTACCCTGTACAGTAAAACAGATAGCTGGTAACGAAAAAACTGTGATTTTTAACATTATAAGTTATATTTTAAGAAATAAAACGTTATTCTCTTATCACTTTTTTCTAAACATAATGGTAATGTGAAAAGGTTACATTGAAATTTTTTCCTTTAAATTTCTTTTCAAGATTAAGATCGCTTTTTGTTTTGGTCTCTATTACGTTTTTTATTTTTAAAAACACTTTTATCAACATTTTTATTATGACACAGCAATTAGAAGGATTTCTATTAGGTTTAGTGCTTTTCTTCCCTTTGTTTGAAAATACATACAGTTTAGTTGGAAAACTGAGATGTTCAGCTTTAAAATTTTCTTTCACGAATTAAGATTGATATTTATATATTTTCTGTTTCACTTTTGTATATAATCTTGTTTCTGTGGCATTTTTACGATAGCACAACAATTTTACTGATAGACTATATTTCTTTTAACGTTTTATGCATACTTTATCGGAAAATATTATTTTTAGCATTAAAAGTTTTTTCTTGGCAATTTTAAATAGCTGTTAGTTTTATATTTATCTTAATTATTTCTAATGGATAACTGTTATATTTTTTCTTTACCCTTCACTAATAACACAGCAGTTTTCAATAATGACCAAACTTAATTAAATATAAAGTATTTTGTTAATGCTTTTTTTTTTTAATGCTGTTATTCGGCCGCTGGATATTCAGTATTCAATCAAATTTTTAGCTGGATATTCAGTATTTGGTCAAATCACTATTCTTTACATCCCTAATTATAAATTGATTTCATGTCTTGAGTCTAAGGCTATAGATTGGACTAATTAATGTATAATGCTGTAAATGTAGGCATCAAGAATCTAAAATTATCTTATACTCCTTCCTAGTTTAATATTTTAAATGCTACTGAATAGTTCATACAAAAAAACGGTTTCTAGTTAATCTCAGAAAGTCGCATGCTTTCAAACCTATATATCTTTTAGAAGATTGCCCAAATAAAGAAGAAAAAAAATTTAAAATCTTGTGTTCTGTTTCTTTTTACCAACTTAGTTGCAGGATTGGTGCAAGTATTTCAAACTTGGAATGATTTCAGTTTTAAGCTTGTTGTTCTTTAAACTGAAAATTATTAATTTATTCATTTTCCATAGTAATTAAATATGTTTTTGTTTGAAATGTTTAACCTTGATTTTCATGAAAAATATTCCTTGTTACTGTAAAGCCATTTTTTTATTTATATTTTTTGAATGAAAAGGAATATTTCATAGGTATACTATCATACTTTCATTGAAAAAGATTTAGGTTTGACTCCATCCACCTGCAAATTTTAGCAATGAGTGTTTGCATTGGAAAAAAAAAAGTATTGTGGGAAGAAAATGATAAAATTTAAATTAAAAGATAAAACATTTTGTCATAGATAAATAACTCTATAGTTTGCTTATTTCTTTCATTTAGTGCTTAATTTGCAATGTGCTTAGTGTTCCCGTATAGTTGTTTAATTTCCTCCTCTTTCTGTTACATTTTCTGAATTGTTTCATATTTTATTCCAGGATAGTCTTTGTTTCAATAATCTTCCTTATAATTGTTGGAACATATCCGTCTCCTCTGAAATTTTGTTTTTATGTTCTTAGTAACAAAAATAGATAAAATTAAAAAAGAGCTAGGACAATATTTCAAGTACACTTTTAAAATTATTATTCGTAAACCCTATTTATTTTTGGTGTAGGAAAAAATATATTTAAAAGAAATGTACAATATAATTTTTTTTCCTTCTCTTTCTCACAATTGACATTAAGTAAGTTCGGTTCTTTTTTAAATTTCGTGAAAAAATTCTGTATTTTGAGGGGGAATTTTTTTTTTTTTTTACCCGGTTAGGTTGTTTCACCTTAAATTTTCAGGTTATTTTGGGTAGTTTGTTAAACTTAAGTGATTCAGCACCATAAATATATTATTTCTTTACTACACCTCTACATACCTTATTTATTATGAGTTTTAATGTAAAAAAATTACTGTTTCTCTTTTTCCTTATTTCAAAAATCAGTTAAGCTGTCAAAAGTCTTTTATTTCATTTGAGAGTTCTCATATTATTCAGAGCATTTTTGGTATAGCCGTATCATGTAATGCATTTTTTATTGATCAAACATTACTTTTAGCCTAACAACCAATGATGATTTTTTTTTCTAGTATTAATACTTGAATAACTAAACTATATTTTTTTAAAAAAAGGAGACTAAACTAAATTTCTTTCTCATTCATATCTCTATCTATTTCTTTTAAAAAAAGGTTTAATTAAAATTAATCTAACTCTTAAATTTCCAAATAACTACTATCACACAAAAAGTAGTTAGCAAGTCTAATAAAAATGTCACATGTAAGATTTGTGAAGATAATACACAAATATATATTTTTAATCTTAATAAATTTGATACCTGTCTTATTCATAGTCTCAATAATTTGTTATATTTGTATTACTAAAAAATGTCCCAGGGTCTAATACTTTATTGTAATATTTGTGTGATAACATAGCTGCTAACTATGCCGATTTTTTTTTCTTTAAAAAAAAATTAGATAAATATTTAATGAAATTTTAATTATTTATTAATTAATAAATATTTAATTTTTATTATTTTACTTGGTTTAAAAAATCACAATGGTATTATATAAAAAAATTTCTTTGTTCTGTAAAGATCACCAATATAGAATTTTTAAAATTTCTTAAAATAAGGAAATTTTAGTATAAAATATTTTCTAGCTAACTATGAAATATTGAATATTATTTAATTTATATATGCTATTAATAATACAGTTTTCTTCACTACTTAATTTTGGGCCAGATGTTACTACTGGATATTCATAATATCCAGCTACTGTCCTATATCCTGCCAGCTGGTTGGATACATACTGCTTGCTGTAAATCAGCTTCAGTCCTAGTATGAATAATTATAAGAGTGCTAAAGTTTGTCTTATACTGTTAGAATATAATTTTCAAGCAACTTTGCAGCTACAGAGCGTCAGGTAGCTCTTTTGTTTGTATTCCAACTCTGTCTGCAAAATTAACATTAAATTAGTTAAAATCAGATTTTCAATATTAAATAAAAGTATGATTTACACAATTTCTCTGCTTGCAATATAAAATTAACATTTTAATTAAAAGCTTAGTGATGCATATCAATTATTAGCTACTAAGCTAGCTTGTTATTAAGCATTAAAGATGATTTGATAATTGTTTAACTATGCAGTTGCATAACCACTTTATAATCAAATTATTTTTCTCTCTTCCTGCTGCCTTGATTAACATTGGTAAGTGAATTGACAGTATAAGATACTTTTTTAGAATAGTTTTTATATGTGGAGTTGCTCCTTTATTGTGCCATGAAAAGCCACTCTTACCAATCATTGAATTGTATTATTTTTCAATGATATGAAACTTATAGCAAGATAAAATTATTCTTGTATATTTATAAATCAGAATTTTCTTTTATATTCCAGAAAATCTGTATAATTTAGAGAATTTCATCTAATTCAAACCACTACTTTACTATACTGTTCCAATCTAAGCCTCTTTCTTTCATAAGCTACTCAATTCTTTTTGTTAGACAAAAATTGTTTGCAAATTGCAAAAATAATGAAATTTTGGAGGAGTTCATATTCTTTCTAGATTTCTTATACAAAATTTGTTAATTTTAATAAATCAAGAAAACCCAATGTATTCTAAGTAACACATTTGTAGCTTTGAACAATATGTATTATTCAGACTAATATTTGAATTTACCTTTTGCAAACTTGCAACTGTAAAGCATTCTTACTCAAAAAAATAAAATAAGCTTCTGTGTATTTATATATATATATTTATTTATTTACACTGTATCTTAAGATATCACAATATTCCATATTTTACCTCTTTCATTTACCTTAATTAAAAGTAACATTTAAATAAATAATTAAGTTTTAATGTAGTTAAAATAATTTTTAAAGATGGTAGAATAGTTCTGACATATTTTTATATTCTTTTCCAGGAACTGGTGATTTCCCAAATTTTAATGATTCAGATCTCGGTGATGATGATGTATTCATGGTAAGTTATGTGTATTTCTTGTTTTAAAGTACCTTTACATTTTTTACTGATTTGATTGCAAACATTAATTTTGACATGCAAACAAATAGAAAACTACAAATGGTTATCATTATAAATGACTAACAAAATATATATTGCAATAATAAATTTTCATACATATTAATATATTTATTACTAATAATAGTGATCTATAGATAATTTTTTTCTATAAAAGCGGTAGTTATGTTCATTCTTTTAGCTTTGACTAGAGTGTATTCATTTGTAGACTTTTGTTAAGCTTTGTAGCTTTTTTTTTTTCCATTCCAGTTGCAATAATTTCATGCTTCATATTTTTTTATAATATATGTTGTAGGTATCATGATATCAGGAAATTAACTATTATAATTTATGATTGAGAAGCATTTTAATAAATATTTATTCACCAATGATCTTTGACTAAAAATTTGCATGCTTAGCTGTTTTTCGTAAAAGAAGCTAATTATATTATTTATTACAAAACACATGTGACTATATAAATGTATCTGATGATAAATTAAATTTTTTTTTCTTGTGCCAGACCTTTATTTTCTTCTATGTAAAACTATGTCCAAACATTCCTTTTCAAGGAAATATGTTTAACTTCACAAAAAAATTAAAAGAAAAAAACTAATCATTAATTACCTGTGGCTCGGTTTTACAATCTGCATGTTTTAACAAAAAAGAAAAAATACTTTTCATACAGAAAAACTATATTTCAGATAGTTTTGTACATACATATATCTTAGAATAATGCATGACCTGGGCCAAGAAGGAAATTATCCAACTTAAAGCTGCATTTTCTTCTGACTGTTATTTTAATCCTGAGATCTTCAGGTTTCCATTTATTGTTTGTCAACTAACCTTCAAACAAGTTGAATTATTAATAGCTGAGTTAAGTGTGGTCCAGAGTATTTGAAAATCTTTTTTTGTTGTTGTTTTTTAGGTTTTACAATGATACCAAGTAAAACATTAAAAATACATCCAAAACAAATATTTATATTCTGAAAAAATACAATGCAATGTTTTTTGTTGTAAGTTACACATTGTATTCCTCAAATTGTAAATAGAAGACTATATACATAGTTATTAAAAAAAAAAACTGGAGTTGCTAGGGCATCCAGAAAACCATGCAGAAATTTTTGTTATTTACTGTTGAAAATCAGATTGATTTTATGATAAAATCTATGCAAATCAAATGAGCATGGCAAAAAACTGATAATATTTTTGTATAAAATCTACAGATTTTAAAAATCTATTGGTATTAATAACTGCTTAAAAAAAAAAAATTGATGAAAAACCTCATGGGTTCAAGATAAAAACGACTCAACATTGAACCAGTCTAAAGATCATATTTTGAATTGCAGATTTAAATTATCAAGGGAAAAAAAGTGTTTCCTTTAAACAATAAAAAGTAAAATTTGTATGATCCTCAGAAATCACATAAAATCTTTGCAAGCCTTACTTTGAAGTTGTACACTGATTTTTCCTTTAAAAAATATGTCATACATTATATTATAAGTTTTCAAAATGCAAATATATGATTTTTATACATGGAAGAGAAAAAAAAAATCAGAAACATGGTAGATCCTGTTTTTTGATGTCTGAAAATTTTTTAAATTCTTAAAGCCATGACAATATAGTTTAAATTTAAACAAATAAACTTCTTTTCAGGGATTTATCTAGGCCAAATTTTCTACCGCTTCTCCTATTGTTTCAAATAGGTTCTACTGTATAAAAAATTAGTAAGCTATTAATAATTAAAAATTCATACAGCATTTTTTAGTATATCCATTTCATATTTTCAGTGTTGATTGTGCTCAGGAAAAAATCCGGATTTCCAGACTTTTCGCTAAGAGTGATCCGGAAGTTTCTGGAGATCGAAGGTCGAGACATTTAAAAAAAATCATTGATCACAGAAGTTTCCGGAAATCAAATTTCCCAAGGTGGAACTTAAAAACACAGTTTATTTGTTTGTAAGGGAGAGCCAGAGAGATACTTAATAAGCTTATACTCATGATTAATATTCATTTTTTTATCAGTAAATAGTTGTTATAATCATAAACTCAAGAAAGAAAGACATATTTGTAAATTTTAATTACTTCTCCAGGTCATCATAGGTATGTGTAAAATTTTAAGTAAACTAAGAAATATTGAGAAAAAGGAAGAAAAAAAAAACCTTGTTTAAACTTCTTTTTTTTTTATAACTCAAGAAATTTTCCAGAATTTTGACTTGGGCTCACAATCACCCCTGTATTTTAATTTAGTAGCTACTTGATATAAGATATTGATAAACTCTGTTTATTTCTCAAGGAATAAGTTTTAAAGAGATTCTTCCCCTGAAATAACTTACAAAGATCGAAACGTATTTCTTGGGTGGTTTTTCTAATGTGGAAGGTTTACAGTCTTTATTTAACATGTTAGAGGATATTAATATTAAATAACTTGCTCTTACCTATCTATTTTCTTTTTGCAGACACTAGAACTTCCTATAGATTCTCGATCTTCCTCTGGGTCTAGCAGCTTTAGTGGAGGTTCTTTCAGGCCCGGTTCTGGCACACCGCTCCAGTATCCAGAGTCCGGTTCTACCACATCACCTTATGCTCATCACCATAGTTCTCATCATCACCTTCATCGCATGAACTTCATTAGATCTCCACGTTTTCCTAGTGGTGTTAATCCTTCTGGTAACAATAACATTGGGGGATATGTTATGGACCCTACTCGCAGGTTAGAAGATGCATGGACAAAGGATGCATCAAGAGACTCTAGAAAAGATTATTTAGACAGTGATAAAATTGAAATGAGCTCAGATCTCAATTCCTATGTGCAGCTATCTCGTGACAAAGGTGGTCGGACTGATCATGATTACTCTTATCCCATAATGGACAGCTATAAAGCTGGCAACAGAGACACAATTAGTAGTTTAAAGAAGCCGCATCATTTTGATACCTTCAGTTGCCAACCTGCTCCGAGACTCCCGGTAAAAGCCAAGAAAAAGGACTGGAGGAAAGATGGCCGTAAAAATCTGACGATGGCGAGGGCGCAGTGTCGCCATTGCCTGGAGATGTATTCAGAGGAGGACAATCATCGGGGTAGCTGTGAATATGCTCCTGATCCAGTCTTGGCTTGCATTAGTGGGGCTTCTTGCATTTCCTGTGCGCAGTGTATGTTATATCACTGTATGTCTGACAGTGAGGGGGACTTTAACCAACATCCGTGTTCGTGTGACACTTCAGACGGACATTGCCCTAAACGCTGGACTGCCCTCACCCTGCTTTCAATATTTGTGCCCTGTCTCTGGTGCTATCTGCCCTTTCGTGCTTGTCATAAGTGTGGAGTTAGGTGTGGTGTTTGTGGGGGCAGGCATGACCCTGCCTGATTAATCTGACAAAAATGACACTAGGAGAAACAAAAATTTTAAAGTATCTGAATTAATTTGCACTTTTTACAAAAAAAAGGAGAGCATTATTTTCAAATGCTAAGAGAAAGTTTTGTTATATGTTGCCATGTTTTAAATGTGATCTATGTATGTCTTGCAAATTTGAGTGTTCACATGCTATGATGAAAGAATGTTGAGGTTGGAAATATATAATTGGAGTCAGGGTTTAAAGAGCTTGTATATATTTTAAAAAAAGAAAACATGCAGTAATGAAAAAATGTTATTTTAAAAAAGCATATGTTTCATAATACATTTCTCTTTAATATATATTTAAAAATTTTATCATACTAAAAATATTGTTGTAAATATGTCTGTTTCAAAGAGTTTTGTGTTGCGAAATTTGGCTGAATATTTATATTTTACTTCAACAAATACCACAGAAAATCAAAATCGTTGCTGGTTGTTATAATTTTTAGAGAAGACCCATTCATTACATGTATACTTAAAAATTATATAATTCTGTCACTATTTATATGCTAAGAAATATAGAATTATCATATTTTTTTATGTTGTTCTATGAAACTAGCTTTTAATTTCTTTCAAAATTTGTTATTTAAAGAATTCAAACTGAGACAAAGTCTATGTTACCAGAGAATTTGAAATATTTGTCCCCATCTGAAGCTAGTCACTTTTTATACTATAGTTTACAAATGTAGCACACTTGTATGTTTTTTAGTCCATATGAGGGTTTAATGATCTGTTGTTAATTTTTCAGCAGGCCAGCCAGGTGAATTTCAAATCTGCTATTGTTGAAAAGCCATTGATTTGGACATTTTTTGTTGTTGTTGTGTTATGCTCATGTTATGTCTACATCATTTTATAGTTTATGTGTATTATAACAATTTTTACATCGGAATTTAAGCTGTGTATGATTTGTAACTAGCAATTAAATTATGATTTTATATATTTATATTTTTCATTCATTAAATACAGTTTAAACTTTTTCTCATTAATTTTTTCCCAGTGCAACTAATTAACAAATATTTCCTTGTAATTTGTTGTAAAAAAAAAAATAAGAAAACTATTTTTTTCTGACATTGCTTCATGAGTAGTCTTCCTAATAAATTGAAGTTCTTTAAGTATAAATTTTATTCTTTATCAATTTGTTCACTTGAACTATTTCTATACACAAACTACATATGCATTTATTTTAACCTAATACCTTGAAGAGTTGAAAATCCGAAAAAAGGGAGAGATAATGGTCCTAATTTTCTATGAAAATTGCAAGCCATTGGTAAGAAGATTAACAGTATGGCAATTAAACAACTCAAAGTTTTTATCAAATGAAATATTTTATGAATTCTGTTATTATCCTATTTCATTGTGAAATGAGATGTCATGCTAAATCAATATCACATTTCTCATCCATAAAATTATGAAAAATATTTTTTATAAAATGTTCATTATTCTTAAAAAGAAAAAGTAGAAGAAAAAAAAAATCATCACCTTGAATTTAAAATATTAAGATTTCACCTCCAGGAAATTGCCAAGCATACGTGGACTCAGCATTACAAATAACTAACTTGTAATAATGCTAACTTAAACCCATTATATCTTTTTAGTTTTCTGAAAGAAATATTGAGAAACATATAATTATATTCAGGGTTGGCAAGATTTTGCCTCAGGTGGAAAAAACCATGGTAAATACCGGCAAAAACAGGTTTTTGCCAAGCAAATAGGCAAAAACCTATATTTTCCAAGATGAGAGGACAAAAACACATTTTTGATACAAAATTATTCCTAAAATTGAAATATATACTATGAATATAAATAATTACAAAAAAATTAAATGATAATGTAATAATATATCATTTTAGTAGGTTAAATCATTATTGATTGGAAAATTTGTGATTATTCTCTTTTTTCCAGTGAAATGAACTTATTTTAAATTAATATAACTATAATTTAAAGCATAAAATATCTATCAACATGTGTAGTTAATTATTGTACAAATAATAATTTTTTATAATAAATAATATTTATTTATTTGTAAAAAAACATTTATTTTAGGATTCTAAAATGAAAAGAGATCAAAAACTTTCAATCTTTTAAAAATTATTACCCTTATATTAATTATTAATATGTTAAAAATAATTTTTTCATGTAATGTATCAAAATTATTATTCCTTATGATTGATTTAAATTTGTTTCAAGTATTTTGTAATAGTATTTAATCAGCAATTTAGATAATTTGGTTTTTGCCACTGTCCTGGCAAAAATCTCTTTTTGCTGGCAAAAACTCCAACCCTGATTAAATTAAATTTGGACATATGTTAAATTAAATTTGGACATATGTTAAAATATCAGTAGTTAATGAACTAAAAAGTAAAATTTACAATGTATCTTGAAGAAAACTGTTAGAGCAGAGACAAGATAAAACTACAATATATAACAATGGAAATAACACAAGTAAACACTAAGAATTTAAAACAAAGATAATATGAGCTTTACATTAAAAATTTTTAGAATACTACGGGGGCTCTGTCTGCCAACCCCCAAAAATGCTTTGCTTTCGTTTTATATCCTTAAAAGTCTATATTTTCTACAAGTTATCAAAATAAATAATTATTGTAGCTTTATGTAAGAAGATTTTGTTAATGGTTAAATAATTACCTGGATTTGAAACATAATTATGAGGAAAAAAAAGTTAAACCTAATGAATGTAGATAATGTGAAGAAATAAATGAGAAATTATTTTACTCGTTTTTCATTCGGCTGCATATAATTTCTCAGCCTTTTTTTTTTTCAGTTGCTACTACTCTAGTCAAACATTGACATCTACTCAAGTGTAAGCTTATAAAATAAGGAACTCATAAATAAATAGCTAACATTTAAAGTAAAGAAATTGTTTTAAGCTCACAAATAAAAATAGCTTTTTCAGCACATCGAAATCAACTCCTTAGTTCCATTTCAAAGGCTGCAGATCTCAATCGAACATGGTATTTTTTTCCTATGAGGTTAACTGTTCTCAAATGTTCCATTCCTGTACTTTTTTCACACAGTTTTATAATTTGAAGTGTCCAAATCTTATAGTTTTTGAACAGGATAACAAAATGTAATGTCGTGTTGAACACCCAGATCAGCGGCTTCGGCCCTTACGATTATTTTGATATAGAAAGAAATTATTTTAGCAATCTTGCATATTTTAGTAATTAGTTTAAAAATAAGATAAAATTACAATCTCACGTTAATATACATTTAATTTGTAAATTGTTTTTATCTACGAAATAGAATTAAATAAGAATACAGAACATAAATTTGTTAAATAGTTCAATAATAGTTTTATTTTTTTATGATTACTTAATAGATTTAACTTTTTGAACAATAAAATTTTTTATAAACTGTAGACATAGAATAAAAGACAATCAAGCATTGCTACTTACATATCTAAAAAGGAAATTTTAGCTACTTTCTTCTAAATTTTAAAATAAATAAAATAGTTTTATAAAACAACTAAAAATTATTTAAAAAATTTAATTTTCTGATGTAATATATAATAATCTTATCTCTAAATTATTAATCTCTAGCAATATTTAGACAACTGAATTATATTAATAAAATATTTACGTAATTAAAAAACTTATAATTTATTAAATAGTAACAAAATCATCTAATGTATTACAGATGGTTTGTTCCAAAAAAATTAGGCTTATTAATTGAAATTCACAGGTTTAGAATTGATGCAAAAATTAAGTTAGATTTATTAAAATAAACAATTGGACAATACTGACTTAAATATTATTATTCAAAATAATTACGTAAAACTCAAATGCTTAAAAATAATCGCAGAATTAATTCTAGCGTTGATTTAATCCTAAAATAACAGAGCACCTTATTTAGTTAAGTTTAGCACCCAATGATGGTGATATCACAGTACGTTTCTATCTTCTTTATAAATGGTGTTGATTGAGAGCTGTATTGCCCAACTTTTTTTGTCCACAGGACTATCAATTTTGTAAAAAATAAAGTAACATATAGGCACCTATTATATATACAAATGGCAAATGAATATTTATAAAATATATTTTTTTCACAAAAAAATAACTAATGTATTCATTTAGCTGTCGTAACTAATAAGAAAATTCAAAAACAAATACTCATAACAAAAAACCTTAATAAAATTTTTAACATTATTCTTCAAGCTGAATAGATAACTTTATAGATCGCAGCCACGTACTATATTATCTATGAGTTTAGAACTGATTTAATGGGACCAATCAAAAATAGATTTATGCTGTTAAAAATTTCAGAATTGCAATCTAATTATTCCAGAATCTGTAACTTATTTCTTAATTTATAAGAAACTAGTTGGCCACATACCTTTTGCTGCGGTAAGATGTCAGGAATAGCTTAACAATTGCTGTAAAGTGAATCTGTTTAATATTCTTGAAACAAGTTGTACAGATAGGTTTGATCTATCTAGAGAAGCCTTGTCTGAATGTATCTATAACAGGAAAGCCAACCTGTTCCATAGTGATTATTTTGCCCAATTTTCGTCATAAGGAAGAACAGAACCACTGGGTAACATCTACTAGGACTTCACCCTTATGTTGCTGAAACAAAATTCAATTGACAAACTACGAATTTCGGCTTTATTTAGTCGAAAAATCAGATTTATTAGAAACTAACTGGCCACATACCTTTTGCGATGAGATGTCAGAAATAGCTTAACAATTGTTAAGTGAATCAGTTTAATATTCTTGAAACAGTAATGATGTGTCATAAGTTGTACAGATAGGCTTGATCTATCTAGAGAAGCCTTGTCGGATTTGTATCGATAACAGGAAAGCCAAACTTTCCACAGTAATGATTTTGCCGAGCTTTGTCATAAGAAAGAACAGAACCACAGGGTCCAATCTACTAGTACAGTACAGAACCCGTTATCCGGAAATCAGAAAACCGGAACGAAATTCAATTAATCTTCCCCTCATTTTTTGAAGAAAAAAATTTTTTTTTCCCTCTAAGATTTTAGGATTTTTCTTTCTTTTTTGAAAGATTTTTACCTTACCTTCATTTTGGAAATAATCATTAGTGTATTACTTCATCGTTTTTTCTTCTTTTTAAGATTATTNAATTTAAATAAATAAAAATAATAAACTAAAAATTAAAATCAATAGATAAAATTTCTTTTTCGTGCAAATCCATAAAAAGTTTGATATTAAAATTATATTTGATTTTAAAATTATATTATACGATTATATTATAAAATTATATTATAATATTCTTCCGAATTTAAAAATAAATTAATGTTCATAACTTTCATAATTAAATAAATAACAACAATTTTGCAAAAACATTAAAGAACATAAGAATATTATTCAATAAAATTTTAGGTTACTTTGAATTTTCGATTTCCTAGAAATGTACTTTTAAATCGTTACTTTTTTTGTTTAGTACTTGTACTCTTTACTCGTTACTTTGTAAAATAAGAACTTTTTACTCATTACTTTTTAAAAGTAACGTTGCCATATATGCTTATGACTCATAAAAATAAATTGTCAAAAAATAAAAGTTTCTTTAAGGAGCAACCCGATACTGACTTAATGTTACAATTAAAATATTAAACAAGAAATGGTCACCATCGAACAGGTTTGAAGAAATCAAATTGAAGAAGCTCGTTTCAGTTCCATAAGAAGGTGTTTGAACATTTTCAGATGTGAATTATGCTAAAAAATAAGTATGCAATATTTAATGAGAATATTTCTCCTTTGAAAAAATGCGTTCATCTGACAAATAGAAATGAATAAGTCTCTGTGCATGCTTCACTCTTACAAAGAAACTTAACAAAGAAAAATGTTTTGAGTTTGTTATTAATTCAACTTAACTCATTTATAATTAGGTCACATTTTCAATTATTCACTTCATCTTAAATTTTTTATGTTTTCTTCAATTATTACAAATATCTATTGTTTATATTTAGTACAATTAAATGCAAAGGGGTTAGGGAACTGTAAAAAATAGTTTAAAATTTTACTATGTGAAATAATTTTTAATAAATAGTAGATTCATTCTTTGAAGGTAATTAAACCATTAGTTAATAACCACAGAATTTCTAGCTTTTATATCACTCTTCTATAATTATATTTAATTGCGCATTTTAAACTTACCAACTAACTTAACTGTTACATACACTGTTTTTGCAATGACCATCCCTAACTTTTATGTTTAGAATCTTTGTCTAAAATAGAGTAAAAAAAGAGAGAAGCAAAGTTATATTTAGGCAAAGAGTAACACTATCAAAATCTAATGAATTACTACTGAGGAAAAGGAAACTGTAAATATTAAAACCTGTTTGATAGCTAGAGTAGACATAGAGAAGTTGAAAGAGGATTAAAAACCCTGAAGTGAAGGCATTGACAGATTTTTAGTTTTTTTTTTTTTTAAGTTAATTATTTTCTACACAATAACCTCATTTTTATAAGGATTCTATAAATGTATATTAAGAGTGGCGATTATGGAACACTCTACATTAAAAAAAATTATATCAGCAAAAAATATCCAATTTCATGAAAAAATTCTAAAGTGAATTTTTAAAAAATATTTAATCTAAAAAATATAACAATGTACAGATAAAAAATTAAGCTCTATTGGGAATGGGAAATTCATCAAAGTTTAGGCTGGAAAATCACTGTTTGCAGATAACATAGCACCAAAATTTTGAAGCATCTTTTGCTGAACATAAGAAAGAATAGACAAATATGCTTCTTTCCACATTAAACCATGCGAACAAGCTAACCTAAAGATAAAAAAAAAATTCTTTGTAAATCACAAATATGCGAAGTTTAAAATAATATTTTACAAAGAACATTGTTTTTATATTAAAATTAATCTATGATTGATTTTTAAAAAAATTTACATTATTATGCAAAACAATTTTAAATATATATTTTGAAGGACAACAAATAATATACAATCATATATAAGCAAATAAAAACATATTAAATAAATGACTTTTTTGAAAAAATGAGATTTCAAGACGGAAGATCTAATTATATTAATTTTACTTCTACAACATTAATTTATTTTTCTAAGTTTGATTTTTGTTAAATTTCTTATTTGTTTTCAGTTTATTTATCTATTATTTTTAGTATGCATTTCACAAAAATATTAATTATATTTAAATTCCTGGCAAACTGTTGACATTTTTTCCAATATATATAAATTTCTAACAGTTAAAGAAACAGGTGTCACACTCACGGCAGCAAAAACCTTACTTCTATTTCTAGAATATTTTAAAACCTTAAAATATCTCTAAACAAATAAAAATATTTTGCTGCACACACAAAGGTACTTCAAACTGCGGAAAATGTGGGAATAACAATCAGATTTATTTCTTCTAAGATATACTGAGTACAGGATTATAAAACATAAAAATCTGTAACAATCAAAGTTAGGATTTCTTTTATAAGAAATTTATTTTTTCCAGAACACTGGAAATAATTAGAAAAAACTGGATGAAATGAATTACACTAAAAAAGACTAATAACATTGTTTAGATACATATAAAAAATATAATTTTAAACAAATAAAAATCCAGAAAGTTTAACGTTTTTCACAATTACTTTTTAAAAAAACTACTTTTATACAAAATTTTAAAATTTATATTACCTTTATAATAATTTATCTTTGAATAGGGTTCATGTAATTCTTATTTTCACAGAAAAATACACTAATAACTAAAAAAATTAACGAGAATACATAATTTTTAGTTTACTACATATTCTCCTGCTTTTAAAAATACATAAATTTCATAGAAATAGAATTGCTTGTGTTCGCATGTTTAATTCTATCACAAATATTTCCATTGCAACTAACGTATGAAATTAACGTATATTTTAGTGATTAAATAATAGCTTGGAAATATTATTAATAATTGAACTGAATAAAGAAAGCAATTATTAACTGTTTAAAAACTTTTTTGAAAACCTTACATTTGCTAAATAAATCGACAAAAATTTTCTTTTTCGAAAAAATATCAAATTTCTTAATTTTAGGTGTTTTTTCTTGAAATTCCCTTTTGCAAAGCATTTAATTCAATATTTTGGGAAGATATTTTCTATTTTGACAGTTCTTTGGCTGAATTTTCCATCGCCGTGATATCAATTAGAAAGAACCCGTCAATGGTTTAAAGGTTGTCTACTTTTCTTTCCTTAAAAAAAAAAAATCTCTTTGGCAATCAATTTTTCATTGTTCTTCTAACTGTAAGTAATATCAGAGATCTCTCTAAAATTAAAAAAGGGCAGGGTGCTTTTTCAAAAACAAAGACACTTTTAGATTTGAAAGATACTGATTTTGCATATATATTTACATTACAAGTAGCTAGATTAAGTCTTTTCAATACTTTAAAATATATAAAATATATTTTTTATTCAAAAATATTATTTTATTGGTCCATTGAGATTATCTTGCTCTGAGGCAATTTTTTCTGGATCTAACCATGATGCAATCCGAAGTAGGGAATTGGTGAGTAAACCCAAAGGGTTTATAATAATTTTATCATTTATGAATAATCATCTACAGTCTAATACCGATTGCAATTTCATAATTAATTTTTAACCAAGATTCACTTTCAATTAAAATATAATATTTTGCATAAGTTAAATAAAACTGGCATAGATTATTTATTTGGGCTTGAAATTTTAAATTATTGGAATAATGTATTATTTGATTAACTAATAAATCACATTTATATAATGTGAAATACCAAATGCAGGGAAAGTCACAAGTGGATTATACTATTGGCTACAATAAAAAAAATATGTAGCTTGATGAGCATCAATTTATACTTCACAGCTCCTGATATGGCGCATATTTATATACATTTACAGCCACCAAACTTTTCAGAAGTTTTTTTAAGTCCAAGAATTATTTTTTAAATCCTTGGAATTTTTATTATTAATAATAATTTTTGAAACATATAAAAAAGAAATCAGATGGTATAAAATAAAATTTTGCTAAAATTTCTTCACTTTCTAGTGACTTAGGACAATTTCAAGATACATACTTCTAAACGTTTAAAGAAATTTGAAGGTGAAATAAGCATTTTTTAAACAATATTGAGAATATACATGCTTGTAATAAATAAAATCACTAATCATATCAAACACTACTTTGTGGAACAAAAATAATTTAAAAACAAGTAACATCTAACCTGTAAAAATATTTCAAAAGCAAGGAAACTTTAGAGAGATCCTGATCTATACTGTCCAATAAAAACTGCCTAAATTCTTCAATATCTTCCTCCAAAGGTGCTACAGAATAAAATTAGAAAGCATTAGAATGCAAGGAAACTTTCTCCAAAGACGACAGTTGCATATCTGTGCCTTACTATTATTTCCAGACAGATACCTAAATCAAATACAGTTGCCTCTGCATTGCATTCTTCAAGAAAATTATAAACAAACAGAAATACAGACTTGCTCCGGACAGCGGACAAGTATTTTCGAGTTGTAGTCTCTTAATGTATATTTGGTTTTGCATATATATGTGGTTAACTAAATGCAAAGGTGGTAAAAAATAATTTTAAATTTAATTTATTAAATGGAGCAATAAATGCAATTTTTGCTACACCTTTAAATGTAAAAATATAATTTTCTACAAAACACAAGAGTAGGCAAACGTGTAAATACAATTTTCCGACTCTAAAATATTTTATTCAAGTAGTATGTATTGCCGAAAAACATGCAAAAATATTAACACCCTTTAAGCATTGAAACTGTGATACCAGAATTTATCATTTTGACTATTATTTGTTTTGATTCAGAGATGGCGCTGCCATCGCATTGCTTTTGGTAGTTTTCTCCTTCCTAAAAGTAGTAATTAATATTCTAACCGGCAACGAGCAAGGTTGTCCGGCTTAAGCTCACTTGTTTATGTTTTGTTTTCTTAATTTTTAATAAATGTTATTAAGTTTAATCTTGGTATTTATTCATTAAGTCCATACTCACGAACCGCTGATACTACAGAAACCTAAACTTTTCACAACCCAATCTATTTATTTCTTGGGGGGAAAAAAGAAATTTTGTAGTGAACAAGCCCCATAAAGGTGTTAAACAAAACCTAAAGGTAAAAGAGTTGAATTGGGAAATGAGCCATGTTATCAACCTAAATTTAACAGCAATGCTTCAAAATAATTTAGAATTATTTTTATTTACAAGAAAAGTAATTTTTCATTTCATAAGGAAGACATTTTATTTTAAAAATTTATGTAAGAAATTTTTTCAAATAGTGCAAATTTATATTATTTTTTTATAAAATTTTGCTGCACATTGCAAATTGTCTTGACTGCAATTATGTTCTCTGTTTATCATTATTTTGTTTCGTTTGATAAATTTGCCATAACAGCAAAAATAATAATATTAATAGTATTGCTTTTTCATATATTAACATATTTCATGAAATGGAGATTTAAGAGCGAGTATACAAACTTTGTGTATTTAGAATCCATTCTTTCAAAAGTTTCCTGACATCATCAAGTTCAACTGCACCACCGAGACTAGCCTGTTTGAGAGGCTTAGATGAAAGAGATTTATTTTCCCTTTCACCCCAAGTGATCTAAAAAACATACATACAAGTTCAATTCTAAGCCAAAATAATTTCAAACAATTAGGTATTGAAAACATTAAAAAAAAAACTATTTTAATTAAGTGTAAAATAAGAATAATCTTAATTGACTAATTAATATGACTTATTTTGTTACTAGTATATATACTTTAAAAGAAATATAAGACCCCCTTTAAAAAAAATTTACAGTAACATAGTTGAATAAATTGAATTTAATAAACAAAATACAGATTTTTGCAATAACTATTAAGTGAAATGTAAATTTCTGATGCAAGAGTCTTGGCTAAACCACGCTTAAAACTAAAAAAGAAATTTTAGAAAAACTCAGCTAAAATCGAAACAACCAAGTTGAAACTGAAACAACTGATTTAAAATAACTTCAGCAAGATTAAAATTATAACATATGTCTGTTGCACAATAAACAATTGACATAAGCTAGTTAGCCGTATAATTAAATCCTAATGAGAAGTAAAATGTCTCTTTGGTAGAGTATAATATTTGGGCATGGAGGGTCTCTGAAAAAAATAATTTTGAGTAAATAATAATTTTTTTAATTTTATTCAGTGATAAAATCCAGACCTAAATTTATAGCATTCAGGGGTGAAGGCAGAAGTTATAGTTTACAGTCTCAGACAATCATGAATAACAGACGATGCAACAATGAATTTAAATTCAGCAGATTCAGCAATTTAAATGGAATATGAGTAAAAATGCAGTGTTTTTAAGCGATGGCGGCTAATTTTTACAAACAGGGCAAAGAGGGTGCATTTATAGGGATCAAATGACAGATAGCGAGAGCTGCCCTACTTAAAACGCTTAAGGAGAACACTGAATAACATAATTATAAAAACTTATAAAAGCTAACAAAAAATTTTAAAAACTCACAAAAAATTCAATCACTCTTTTCTTGTGAGGTTTGATTTTACTTGAACTGTTATTGCTTGCAAGCATTTTAATTAAGTTTTGATTCTTTGGCAATTCATTTTTCTTTTCAATCTCTATTAATGAAGATTGTTTTGAAGTGGATGGTTTGTTCTCATGTCCTGTGATGATTGTTGGGTTTTTTAGTTCTTTCTGCCCAAGTTTGTTGCTGGAAACGTTGGTTGAAACACACTTAGAAGAAGTAGGTGCTTTCTCAGATTGCAATACTACAGGGTTTTTAGCTAGTTTTGAACAGTTTTCAAGAACTTCTTTCTTTATATCTTCTGGCAAAGCATTTAAAACACTCTGATCGAGCTATAAAAGATACATATAGTAAATTAATGAATGCAGAAAAATAGACTAAAAGCTATTATATGTAACAGCAATAAGATACTAGAATTTAATTTTTATCTACAACAACTACAACACTGTTCACTATTGCTTACCTTTCTCTATTAATGGAACTTAAATTTTAAGAATAACAAACAAAATAATTAAAAATGAACAATAGTTAACATATCATACTAAGATAATAAAAAAGAATTCTCAATTAAAAAAAATATATGACTTTCCCCATTTTTGCATTAAAATAGGGATCTATAAAATAAGTTAGCATGCTTAGGAAATTTTTAAAACATAAAAAAAAAAATAATTTTAATTGCAAATGATATGCATAAAATCAATTAAGATAACAAATGGAAGGAAAAAAACATACTTGATCATAATCTGTTATGTCATAAGACAGCTTTTGCTTCGGTTTCGATAAGAAATGTTTTATTGTGTTCTTTTCAGGTGTCTTAAGTGCTTTTTCTAATTTTTTTGGAGACCTTGATTCCTGGAAACATAAATGAAATGTATGAGATTAAACTTTCAACTTCAAATTTGGATCTAAAATAAGTGTTTGCTTATTACTAAATCTTTATACTCAATACATTACATACTTTTATTTCAAATGTTTTCCTTCAAAAACTAAAAAGTAGCATGAATAGGCCAACATGCAAGTACTGTAATTTTTTTTTTATCTGAATTTTTTTTCCTACGTACAAGCATTAGTAGATGCATTTTTGTACACAGCTTTTGCATTTTTTAGCAAATAACAAGATGAAATTAAAGGCAATTTTTTAAAAATCTTTTCTGGAAAAAGCTACTGAATTGTGTACAAACACAAATGTTTCATCTAAAATACTAGTTTTATACAATGTACCAAAAAACCACACTCTGAATAATTTTTGATCCAATGAACGGTTCTTCAGGTTCAAGGACTCAATTGTAATGGTTTAAGGGGTGACCTTAAATATGCTGATTAATTAAAGCAGACAATATTTTAAGTTACAAAATCAGACACAAATGTACTTTCCCTGAATAAACCAGACCTTTCTCTCAGCAGGTTCAAGCTACCCACCTCCAAAATATAGCGGATAGTCGCAAACTGGAAAAGTATGGTCCACATAGCTTGATCAGGAGAGCAATCCTAAGTTTGAACTGCATAATGTTATTTTTATTTTTTGTGTAATTCGCCATATCTCGCGAGCTTTTGAAACGAAATGAACATTTTTTTTTGCACATTATAAAATTCATTTATCCAATGATAATTCCAGGTAAAAAATAAATTTTGGTGAATATTTATTATTTTTTATTTAAGAATAATTGAAAAAGTTTTGAATCGTAAGATACACAATTTTTAACATAATTTTAAAATAGGTAACTTTACACGGCAAAAGGAAAACTTTGAGAGAAATAGGGTGAACAGTTCCATGAGAAAAAGAATTTTACATAAACAACTTATTCAAATTTGATTTCAAAGGAACTATTTGACAAGTTTCACTTAAATTTTGTATTTTACCATGCATATTTAGATCATTAGCATATTTGAGGTCACCGCCTCAAACTATTAAGATTGATTCCTAGAATGTGAAGATCCGATCATTAGATCAAAAGTTATTTGGGGTGGTCCTTTATTTTTTTGAGCACTGGACATATAATATTTGTAGATAATTACTATTTCAATATATGATTGCTTATTTTCTGACCAATTTGTTCCTGTTTTTATCTTGGAGTTCTGCTTATGGAGTTTAAGCAATTGGGCGTCAACCACATAAATTTTTCTTATTATTATTCAGAATATAACAATATTAAATTAGAACTGTGGTCTTCAAAGATAATTTAAAATTTTTGGAAAATAAAGTTTCATAACTGATGGATATTTACAATATAAAAGATGACCTAAAATTCGTGAAACATTCGAATTTTACATTGTTTTATTACTTTAGCAATAAAATGTTACAAACAAAAAGAAAAAGACAGTAGATCAGATGATGATTTAGGGTTATTAAGAATGATGCACTTAAAAAAAAAAAAAAAAGGAAAACGACACACTGTTCAAGTGGAACAATATTTTTAGGGCTTTCGAAACTTTGTATATTTTCCAGTTTTGGCTATCAAAATTGTCTGCCTATAAGATGCCATTTAATGCTGCAGGGCAATCTTGTTGGTAACCTTTTAAGCCTAGAACTTATGCAGACAATCCCATAATCACCCACACCTTGGAGGACTACAATAAAATAGAAATATAACAGAATAACAAAATTATAACTTCTTACAATAGATTTTGAAGAGCTGTCTTTTTGATTAAAAAAGTTTCTCAGGGTGTTTTGGGCTGCCTCTTCTTTTTCAGCTGGTTCAAGTTTACTCACTTGTATTCCAACCTACCATATAAGTAATCAAAATAAAGTTAAATTTCACATCAGTGAAGAGATTTTAAAACAGTGTGTTGAATTCAAATAAAATTCAATTCAGATAATTGAATAAAAGAAATGCATCAAAAGAACAGCCTAAAAGCAAAATAAAATAACAAAATACATTGACTAATTAAGTAATTAGTAGATTAATTATTATTAAATTGAATTTTTTATATAATCTGCAAAATAAAATAATTTTTTCAATTGTTTTAAAATATATGCTTTAAGTTGTTAACAAAAATAAGCAGCATATAGGCTTAGGTAACAAACTATTAATCACATTAGATCTTAATGCAATACCAAACCCATTAATTATTTAATTTACTTCAGAAATCTATCTTTTAAACTGTTACCAATAATAAGTAGCATGTATGGTTAGGTAATAAATTTTATTAATTACATTAGATCTTAATACAATACAAGTCCATTAATTTTTTTATTTACTTCATAAATATATCCAATAAGCTGGTATCAATAGGACATACAACACATCTGGTAACAAATTTTATTAACTACATTAGATTTTAATACAAAACAAATTCTTAATGTTTTCTTATTTAGATTTCAGAAATATATTCTTTAAGCTGTTATTTAATAATAAGTAGCAAATGGTTAAGTGACAAATTAATGATCACATTAGATCTTAATGGAATACAAATCCTCAATTTAAATTTTTTAATTTTATAAATATATCTTTAAAGTTGTTATCAATAAGTAGAATATACTATTAGGTAACAAATTTTATGAATTACATAAGATCCTAATGCAATACAATACAAACTCAATCATTTTTTCAGGGTTCCTACTCGATTTCACAAAAAAAAAAAAATTTATAATAAATCCTTGACTTTACCAGGTATATTAAGAATACTTCAATGAAAATCCAGACCATATGCATTTTTTCATCAGAAAACTTCAATTTTTTACTTGTAACGTCAAATATTTTTCGTGAGCAAAAAAATATCATTGAATGAGGATGAAAGCACGAAAGTTGGACCAAAATGTGAAATTTTTACAACAAATAATTGTAATAGATGTTAGAATAATATAACTTGAATTTCAATTACTAATTACCGTCAATGACAATTTTGAGACCAGTTATTTTCCAGGTATGACGTAGGAGTTTTTTAGGTTTCGCAGAAAAAATTGTAACTTTCCCTGCTTTTTAACCCCTTCCTTCTCGCTCCCGTGAAAATGACGGGGTGAGATTTTGCCCGCTATTACTCATCCCCGTGATATTGACGGGCTGGAGAGTTCAGAGGTAACGCGCCAATAAGAATACAACTAATTAATTTATTTTGCCCGGAAAACATTTTATTTCTCATTTTACACACCTGAGGGCAGTACCAGGATATTTTTAAGGTAATTGTAGATAGTTAGTTTATTTTAAACTAGATGCAGCACTGATCAAATACGTAATACAAATACAAAAGTAAAAAAAATAGGCACTTTTATGACTGTTTTCTTGAAAATTAACCGATCATTAAGGGGTTAAAGTAAAAATAAAATTTTCTGACCAGTAGAAACCCAGTTTTTTTTCATTTGTCTCATAAATATATCCACTATGCTATTATAAATAATAAGTAGCATATAATGCTAAATAACAAATTTTATTAGTTACATTAGATCTAATAAGATGAAAAAAAAAATTTTTTTTCATAAATATATCCCTTAAGTTGTTATCAATAATAAGTCATCATGTAGAATTAGGTAACAAATTTTCTTTAAACACATTAGATCTTAATACAATACAAATTCTTAATGTTCTTAAAACCATCTTCAAAATTTTTAACTTTTAGATTTTTCAAGATTAGACCGCTACCATAATCAAAAAATTGATTTTTCAGTATGAATAGCTGACATTTTCACAATAAATATATAAATAGAGCACATACTCCTCTATAATCTTGAGGGTTGATTTTCAGTGATCTAGCCAATGTACAGCATTCATTACCTATTATTTTTGAGTTGTCTGTAGCAGATTTTAAAGCAACAGATTTAGACATGTTATCACACACCCCATGTCCCATGAATTTGGCAGTTTCTATAGGAGCATTAGGTCTTCTAACCTAAGATATAAAGTACATTAAAGTTAAGTACATAAGTAAGATAAGTACAATTTAAAAGGCAAAGATAAGTTAGAAGAAAAGATAAGTACATTTTAAAAGGCAAAATTAACGCATACATGAAACAAAAAAGAATTATAAAGATTTTTTACTAATAAACTTAGATAATGATCGCATAACATCTTATGTTGTTAAACCTCAAATTTAAAATGTGAAGGGAAAGAAATACACATATTAAGGGTTAAAAACTATTATTTCAGCAAAGAAAACAAATAGAACAGCTATCGAGATTTAGCAAACCATGACTGAGAAAGTCCAAACTGTTAAACCACTTGACTGATGACTGCTTTATGAAACTTGAATGTGTTTTTAAAAATTGCTTTCTCCTTTATCAGTAGGAGGATTCATTCGATTTCTATTGTCTTTTCTTTTTCCTTACTTAAATATTAATTGTTAAGACTTTTTTATATCACTTTCTAAAAGTAAATAAAAAATTAACTTGTTTATACCTGCTGACATTGGAGAACTAAAATACCCAGAAGACAAGGGAATTCCTGGATCAATCAAGCATTGGGAGAAATTTGCCTTAGTGGAGCACTTTTTGATGGAACTAACCTGCATTTGCGTTATATGGGGAGGAAAACCACTAAAATGTCCCACGGTTAGACTGACCGCAAAGGGTACTTAAATTATTAACTCTAAACATACTGCAGTACTGGCAATAGCAATATCTGTTGAGGAAGAAGAGAAATATTTTTGTCATCAGCGGATATTTCATTGAAATTTTTTTTTATTTCTTTAAAAAATACGAAGAAATTTGAGAATATACAGGTAAACAGGAGATAGTCGCAAAATACAAGAATCTTCATCAAAACACAGGAGACTTGGCAGGTATGCGTGCACATAATGAGCAGTGCAATTAGCTTATTAAATCAGGGTTCTGGGAATAACCAACTTATCATAAACTAGAAAAATTTTAAAAACTGCTTTCTTTTCATTATTTTCTATTTAAACTGATCACATACAATAAACATTTGGTTAAGAAGACACAGACATGTGAACATTAGTGCAGAATCCTTAAAATGGTTTGCATGGCAACATCTTTAGTAAGTCTTAATTTCAATAAATAACTTTTAAGATAACAAATCAAAATAATTAAGTAAATTTAAAATAATAAAACTTTAAAATAAATTTAGTTGTTGAAAAAACTCAATAAATGTGAGTCGTTCTTATTATATCAAGGTTTTATACAAAGCTAAAAAATATAGGCTTTTTAAACCTTAAACAAACCATTCATAAAAAATTTGCATGCTAAATCCATGATTTGGATAAATCAAGTTTCTTAATAAATGAATGGATGTATTAAGAGTGATCATTATGGCACACCCTGACATACTAATTTATACACAAGCATAGAAACCTGTTTTTCTCTTTCATTAACTATATAATTAAACTTTAGTTATTTCAATTCCCTAAATAGCATTGCTAAGAAGAAGAATTTAATAACAGAAGTTTCTCTAAATCACATTTAATTCTACGAATAAAAAATTTTAAGACTTTTTCTCTTTAGTCTTTCTTGTTTAAAAATATAGGAAAACTATAACATTGATTCACCATATAAGACTAAAAATTATTAATAATGCAAACATAGTTGTAAATACAATTTACACTAAAGCAAAGTCAAAACAATTTCTTTAGAATTACCATAAGCTTTAATGTGATAGCCTTTCCTTTAGAGTTAATAATTTTAAGGCGATTCTGTACTTCAACTGCTAATTCATTAATAAACTGATTTACATCTTCATCCTGCAAGAATAAGAAATTAATTAAAAGAACAATTTCAAATTAATTTATATTTGTGAATACACATTCAATGATTCTATTTATATACATATCATATTCATTTATTATATTTTATATCTGTATAACATGTTTTGAGTCTTTCAATTGAATTTCTAAAATAGACATTTTAAGATGTAGATTATATTAAAAATAAAGACTCATATCATATATAACTTTCTTACAGCACTTTAATTTTTAAGAGTTTGAAATAGTTGATTCTAATGTTTTCACCCTTGCCAATAATGTGGGAAAAGAATCTCAACTTTATATATTTTTTTTTAAAATTAAACAACTTTGCATTTTGGTGACTCTCTTTCTAGGAAAGAGATTAGTGAACTTTTAACCAAAATTCTAAACATTTGTATGTGAATTGATTATTTTTATAATTTAATATTAAAAATCTTTATGCAAATGGAAAAGAAGTAACTATGTTATAACATAAAATTAATTGCATTAATAAGAATGTTTAGATAACAAATTGCAATAGTATTGAGCTTCATATCTATAATAAAATAAGAATAATTCATGACAATATCAGTTAGAAATTTAAATTTTTCTCCACAGAACACAGTAATGACAATCGAAAAAGAAAAAAAATCTTTAAACAAAAAAAAAAAAGATATTCAGTAATTGTTTATTAAGTATAAGTTGTTATTTTTGATCCAAAAATTTCATGATAATTAAAAGAATGAACAAATGTTTATTACATGAAAATCTTTATTAATGCAGGAAATTATAATTCTAAAAATAGTAGTACATATACATATTTCTTTCTAATTTTATAATTTACAGCAAAAAGAGCCTTAGTGAGGTGGAATAAAAATAATTAGAAGACGAATTGAACCTTTTTACAATAGGTATTATGCTCATAATGCTTGGTATTCTTTCGTAATTTTTTTTTAATTAAAAATTTTTTTAGTAATGAGTTCTCTGAAAAACAAAATCATATACTTAAAAATACAAAAATTTCTTTTTTCTGACGTCATTAAATGCTAGTCAGTGGCCAAAATATTAAAGTATACTATTCATTATATTAAATAAGTAAAAGTATATCGCAAAGTGAAGTTAGAAAGAAAAAATAATAAAAATATTTTCTAGATAAAAATGGTGAACAATTCTTCGTTTGGCTACCTTAAATCTCATCATAAAATAAATTAGTAATCACAAATTCTAATTATTCATTAAAAAAACAATGCTGATTAGTTAATTATTCTTAAATTTAAAGATAAAGCATTTAATTAAAGTAGTACTGTTTTAATGAAATGATTAAATACTTTTATAATGAAGAAACGGTTAAAATGCACTTAAATAATTTTATATAGAAGTGTAAATCAGTAAATCATGATTCTTCATCTCTTTATCTGTAAAATACAAGGATAATACGATTCAAAATATTTTAAACAAAATTATGAAGAAAAAAAAGAAATCAAAAATTTTAAAACAATGCAAGATTCTTTTCAGCAAAATATAGTAGATACATGAATATGGTTTACTTAATTTTAAAATTTTGTGAGTGAGAATCTTGCATAAAATAATTCACATAAATTTATTTCTAAAAATCCAATCCTTTAATATCAGAAGTCTCAAACACTTGTATATAATCTTGTATTTTTTACAATTTCAAGATTGTAAGTTAAGACAGATTATTATTAAATAAAATAAGGAAGAGGGAGACAAAAATTTTGAAACAAAAAAGTGGTGCAGTTTTGTCATACTAAATTAGTTCATCAGCTTTTAGCTCTTGAGTTCTGTTTGCCACTGCTTTTTACTTGTAATTTTGCCAGGACACATTTTTTGTCATTCATGAGTGCTTGTGTACAATATTTAAAACTGAATAAATAAAAAATACTTTTAACAAAAAATAATGGGCATTTAAATTACATTTACAGTTATAGAACATAATTTATTCATAACATAAATTTTAGAAAACTGATGTTAACAAACCGTTTCAAATCTTATGCCATAGTTGATCTCAGCTGACACCGATTTTCGATCTTTCTGGACTTGCACTACTCTATTATCCACACCCCTACATTTATTGTATATAGATTCACCAGTCTTGGGACCAAATTCTTGTTGCAGTTTAGCCAAACTCAAATTTTGCAGGTCCCCACACGTTACGATTCCTCGTTGTTTGAACTTTTTTGAAGTTCTATAGCCAACACCTATGATCAAGAAATATACATTAAAGATCAAGCATTGAATATTTATATTCAATGCTTGATCTTTAGAAAGATAGAATCTTAGATCTTAAGAAATCTTAAGAAAGATAGAAATAAAAGTATTTATTACACTATTATAGTTAAATACAAGAAAATGCAAAATATTAGGTGATACATACAGTAGATAGAACAGTATTTAATATTTCTTAATATTCATTACAAAAAAAAATGGCTATTTTAGACTACCATTTTATTTTAAAGTTGTTATTCTTTATAATTTTTCATTAATTTTTCTTTCCTTCTAACTTCACAAATTAGAAACTAAGTTAATTACAGGTAAAAGGATTATAATTTTGGTAACTTTGAATTGGTATCTAACTAGTAATAATTGAAAGTTTATTAACACTAGATTTTTAAATCTAATATTAAGAGGAAAACAAATAAATAAAATATTAATTCCCATAAAAGTTACTTAAACCAATTAATACTCTCTAAAAACTATGAAATATAACAGGTATTTTACTTAGTATTTTAAGCGTATTTAATTTTGAAATAAATTTTTTAAAGTTAAAAAAAAATACTTTTTTAAATTTTATATTTATTACTGTTACATTTTTCATGGCACTATAGCCGACAGTGGGCCTTGGTTTTCTGGGCAATGTTATTCCTAACATTCCAGCTCTCAGCCTTGGATTTCTAATTTAAAATTTTCATTTCGGTTAGATCTTTATGGATCGGTTTCCTCTGGATCTTGAATTCATTGGTATTTCTAGATTAAGATTTTTTTTTCACACCCTTATTTTCATTCATAATTTCTATCTGACTTGGCCTATGCCATACAACTTGATTTTATAAATTGAATGGCGTTTTACAGTTTAATTACATGGTCATGTTCACCATCGTCTTTAATCCTCCACTGTGAACTGTTTATTTGAATCGGTCTAAAAATTTTACTTAATACATTTTTTTATTTTAATAAGTTATTTTCATCTTTATTTATTACAATCTCAAAATTTAATTTCAATTTAGTAACATGAATAACTATTGACCTAATAACTGTTTTATAAATTTTCGTTTAAATTTTATCAGTAAGGAACTAGATCATCATGGTCTTTGATATATGTTTCATTTAAATAGCGTTTATTTTCTTTTTTAATTATTGAATAAGTTTCTTTAGGAATAGCATTACAATCTTTCATTATTGAGCAAGTGAAACTGAAAGCCCTTTCAAAATTAAATTTATCCACCATAAGCACAGATATTATAAATGTAACTAAAAGAAATAAAGTGGAAAAAGTATATAATTTCAACTGTTTTGAATTTACTTAGAGACTATAAATTTGGGTCAGTACAATTTAAGAAATAAACACTCAAAAATACCAGAGAAAAAAATTTAAAATGGTAAAAAATCTTATTAAAATTTAATCTCTAAAACAGATGGGATAAATAAAGAAGATTGACTACACAATTAAAGATTTTGAAAACATTTTTTCTTACAATATTATTACACCTTTTTATTAAATCAAACATTGCTTATTTATTTAAATTTTGTATCACTTTAAAATAAAAGAGGCAGATATTTTGGATTGCTTTTTGAGTCTTAGCGTACAAATACAACCTACAAATTATATTTTTTTAAAAATAAACAAATAAATAAAAAAAAAAACAATCTTCTACATTGTGCTATAGTAGACCAGGGGATAGAGCATTTGTCCCCTAATAAGGTCCCAACATTGGCTGGTTGATACGAAATCTGCTTCAAGCTCATACCAACCACAGTGCTGATGTAAAATACCCTCAGATGTAGAGGGATCATGGGTTAGAATCTCCTTGTTGTCAGGCTAACCATGGGGTTTTTTGAAGGGTTTCTACTACACGCAACACCAACAAAAAGTACTCCACAATCTCCTCCGATAGTCCAGTGTTTTGGGTTGGGTTGAAAAGGAATAGTTAAAAACTCAGAATAAGATTGGCTGTCCAATGCTGGTTATAAAGTAAAATAAAATTTATTATACTGACTTTTAAAAAAGCGATAAAGTTTCTATATATGCACAATCATTCATAAGATTTGCATATAACTATATAAGACCAAAAGAATAGCTGCACTTCTGAAGAAAAACCACTTTTCAACTCACAAGGTTCTCCTTCTAAAAGGGTATGTCCAATGTTTAGGAAGAAGAAGATTTTGTTTTCTTTGAAAAAAATATCTCATGTGCAATTGTTAATGCACAGGAGAGCAGAAATCTTTTGAACAATTGTTTCAAACTAGCTTAATAGAAAAGAAGTTAAATAATTTGCTTAACTAAAAAACTAGTTACTTACTTCAGCTAAATAATTACATTTGTGTTTCACTTAATGTCCAATGCATCTTTATATTGCACAATGATACAAAAGAAACAAAGCTTTTACTTGTGTAAAAAAGAGTTCAAAAGAAATTTCACAGTTTAAAAACAAATATGTTTCAGCAAATAAATTTTCCGTAAATCACAACATATCAATTTACCTGGTAAATCATCAACTTTTTGTTTTTTCATAAATTCCTCAACATCAGAGTCCAAAACATGATACTGGCCATTTGGTTTGCCAATTTTTGTGGCAAGACGAGCAAGCAACATATTAGATCCTTTTAAAGAGAACCAGAATTAATTTTAAAGACATACTAAAAAAGTCGTATAATAATTCCAAAGAATTTCCCAGAGATTATTTATTTTCTAAAGAATATTAGCAAAATATAAAGCTTTTCTTCACTTTGTTGCAATTGCTTAAACATTATAAACATGAATAAATAAGCTTAAAAAGAGGTTATTGTTATAAGAAATATACTATAGATAACTTGTTTTTACATTTATGGATTCAATCTTAAAGCAAACAAATTTGCAAATAAAAATTCAATCATCGCAAAATATTTGAAAACCTTTAAACCTGTTCAAACAGCAATAATTATAAATAAGAGTATAGAATATTGCCACTGTTCTAAAAACATATTTTAACAATTTAATCACTTTTTGACTTTAGATTTTAAATAGGATTATATGTAAATAGTGTTTTGAATAGGATTGCATTGAATTTTGACTTTAGATTTTGATAGGATTAATTTTATAGTTTCTAAGGTATGGAAATTCTATAATTTGTCATACACATGCGCATTTTTAAATATTTTAGTAAAGAAATTTGTAAAGATATATTTAAACCTGATAAATCTTTGTACTAAATATGAACTCATAAAAATAATTTTGTTTTTACAATTGACGCTCAATATAATGATCCTCGTAGTCAGAATGAAAATAAACATAACAATGTAAAGTTGCTATATTCTGAGCACACAAAATGTCTTACTTTGACAGTGGATAAAAGATTATTCTCTTATCCACTATATACCAGATTTTTAATTTTTACTCTAAGCATAGAACATTATGTTGGTTACAAGCGGATACTTTTGCTAAATAACATTATGTCCAGCATCTTTTCTAACACAGGCTAGGACCACAAGAATAATTGCTTCAACCAATCATCCTTCATTCATAGAGAATTCAAGATGTTTCACAATTATTAAGCAATAGCATAAAAAAATAGTGGTTTAAATTATTTCCAGAAGACTTTTTTGATCTATTGATTCATGGGCAAAGGAAAAAGCTCTTGAAAGTGAAAAAATGTTTTAACAACTGTTTTTGAAATGATTCTCAAGGGATTAAAAAAATGACACAAAATTTCAGTCGCTATATTGGAAAGGACGCCTTAGTTTGGACGTTTCAATAGGCATTAAAACAACATTGCATTCACCGAATATCAAATGGGACTTTATATATCGCTCATAATAATTGAAGGTTTCCAGAAATGGGGGTCATAAAAATTTATATTAAGTGTACTAAGATAATCTTTCCTTATAAAGATAGAACTCAAGCATAGTCTAAAGCAAAACTGAAATTAAAAATACATCTCAGTTCACAGCTACTAAAGAAATTATTCCACAAACACTTACTTACCAAGCCCAGCAGATGCAGTGCATTTTGTTTTCTCAAAAACTTCTTCCCTTAAAACAGAGGCAAACATGCTCGAAGATACTTTGGTGTGTCGTAATAACTCTGTACAATCAATATATAGCTCATCTACACTAACTGCTTCAATATCTAAAGTATAACTGGAAAAAGAAAGTAACATTCTCAAATCTTAAACATTTTTATTCAGTATTTGTTTAGAAAATAATATATCTTTACAAACAAATTAACAATTAGCACATTACAAATAAGCAAGACAAAAATTACCAAATTAACTTAAAAAGTCAGTTTGAAGATGTACTATTAAATTAATTTTTTCAATGTAGATTTTATCAAAATATATTAGAGTTAAAAAATTTTAAATATTTATTGACTTGTAAAACAAATAATCTATAACATACAAATAAAAAAATCAGGCCTTTATTAAAAAACCATTAACAAATATATATTTTATTCTAACGATAGGAACTGAACTTCTCATTCTTTGCTTGAAATGATGTCGGAACTGTTACGTATTTAACATAACCTGGTCTGCACCAGGAAATTTAAGTCATAGACGAGAGCAACATGCCTAACAACAATTTTACCATGGCCCCAGTTAGGTTCAATATAGGTCCTATAAGACCATACACCAAGGGGCTAATATTGGAATGTCTAGAATTTTTAATAGAGGTCCTATAATGGCTTTAAATATTGGGCAATAACAATTCTATATAGGGCTGATATTGGTTGAAAAACGGCTGTAAAATATTGAGTGAAATGGACAATTCTACATAAGGCCGATATTGGCTGAATAACTCTCTCAGTGGTGCAACAGCCCATAGAGGGACAAGGCCTACTGTGCCCATCTCAGTTTTCTTGACCTTGGGCTCTGGAGTGCAGGAGCAGATGTTCTGGTTAAGTGGTCAGCCGAACGTGAAATCCCAAGTGTTTAGTTCCCAAGCATGCTTGGTACTCATTTATCAACTCACTGAAGGGATGAAAGGATAAGTCAACCTTGCCTGGTACGAGGATCGAACCCAGGACCTGTGGCACAGGAGCGCAAGGCGCTACCACTCAGCCACCGGATAGTGACTGAATAATGAACATAAAATATTAGGTTAATCTAACAATTCTATATAGGGTTAATATCGACAAATTTATCAGCCCTTTTTAACCTTATTGAGTCAAGATTAATGAATATTGGTTTAATGAGGGGCTAAGTTATATTGCTGCAAGGGATTACTCATAACAAAGTCACAATTCACATTGCAGAGTACAACACACAAAGAAAAACATCCATGCCCTGAGTGGGATTGGAACCTGTAACCACTGGCTTCGCAGTCACACATGCTGACCTCAACCACCTGGCCAGTCCAACAAACATAAAAGGTAAAAAAAAAGATAAAACACTAACCTAGAAACTATATCATATAGTTGCCTTGATACTTCTGAGTAACTTTCAAAATCATAAGAAATAGTTTTCAAGTTCGGGCAGAGCCGCAGTGCTTCACCTAGAAACATTCCATTCCTTAAACCAGCTTTCCGAGCTTCATAGCTACAGCTAGCTATTTCAGACAAAGATCCATAATCTTTGGAATGTACCGATATTTTAGGTTTTGGCATATCATATTCTTTTTCCTCGTCAACATCCATCAAGCCTTTAAGTTTGTCATGCTTGTTAGAATAATGAGACATTTCATATTGTACATCACTACCATCTTGGGGCTTTCCTCTTTTTCCTTTAGAATGAGTAACAGCAACAGGTAAGCCTATGCAAAAGAAATTAAAGAAATGTAAGGAGCTACATGATATGTATAAATATTTGAGCAATAGTAACATAATGAATCAAATAGCTTAATATAAATGGATATTTGATGTTAAAAAATTAAGCTTGCTTCCAGCATATAATGAATCAAATTATATAATGACTAGATATAATTTGTAGTAAACATTTAAAAGATCACAGACCAGCTAGCATATTCAAACAAAACAAAACAAAAATTCTTGATCTTTTGCAGGAAATTTAAATTGATTAAAAAAAAGAGAGAAAGAATTAAAGAAAAAATTACTTAAACAAAAAAGTCAAATAGCAAAACAAATGAAATTCTACTTCAGATAAAATAAATTAATAATTAAAAAGAAAATCAAAATAATACCAAGCAAAAAAAAAAAAATTGCTTTAACTATTATTGGGATTGGTAATAATTAGGGAGAAAGAACAAACAAACAAGTAATATGTCAACATAACAACAAACAAGTCAAATTTTCTCTAAAATACTACAATGAAATCTGAATAAATAAGACAAATGAATAAAATATCAGAGAATTCAGGGTGAAATATGTTTTGAACTTAAAGTAAAGTCAAACTAAGTTAAAATTTTAAATTCATTATCCGATCAGACAATTCATCGTACTTTGAATTGATTGTAGAATTGAATGACATAACATTAGAATTTAATAATCATTAAAGTACAAAGTGACCATGTAGCATTTGACAATTTAGTTGTTCATACCTTTAATTTGAAATGTTACTCAAGTTTGATGCAGTATACCTTACTTTAACTTTTATTTCTACATTCAATCCCACAATAATCTACAATTCATATGAATCACCAGAAAAAAATTTAATAAAACCTTTAGCATAGCCTTAGTATACATACAAATACCTTTAGCATACATTAAAATTGATACTACTCTGAATGTAAATGGCAGGGGAAAAAACTTAACAGTACTATTGTATTAAAATAATATTCAACATATTTATTCATTTAATTAATTTTCACTTCAAATATATCAATTTTAAATTGATCAATAACACACCTCAATGTTAATTTTAACAAAATGTCACCCTTTTCCTGTGACACTTCTATTTTTAACTCCTTAAGCTGATTTATTCTAAGAAATATGCATCACCCCTTTTATTAATCCAAGCTTGGAATTTTTGGCTAATAGTTGTTTTTTAAATTCCAAAATTTGATTCTTAATACACTAGGCCCTGAACCATTGACAGTAATTACACATCTCCACTTGGAATTAGTAACAAGCTAATTTTTAAAGTAAGTAGCAACCTCACAAAATTCATTTTAAGAAAAGATAACTTTTAACCCTTTGACACACAATTTTTATTAAATATAATTTTCTTACTTTTTTTTCAATATTTTGTATTAATTAATATATAAATTAGTTACAAATAAGTAAAAAAAATATTATAATTAGCATTTTAATAATCATGGTTATGAAATAAAGCATGAAATATCTGGTGTCTTTTTTCAACGTTAAATTTAAAATAACAAAAACACGACTCAGTTATTAACAATTTTCCAAATGTGCAGTTATTTAGATCTAAAGAAAACAGTTATTCATAATAGAAATTTCCTTACTTAATAATAAAAAATTATCGATAACTTTTTGAATATGAATGGAAAAAAATTTATTCCTTTTTTTCAGATTTCACATTTTAATAAAAATATAATTCTGATAATGTAACAGATTTCTTTTTTTTAAATAACCATCAGACTATTCTTCATAATACAAAAATATATTTTTAATCATAATTAGAACATTAGAAAAAAATATACATGAAAGCGACACTAGTGTCCCACCTGCATCAAAAGGTTAAGTTTTATTTACAATTTTCTCTGATATTTTTAATTTCATGGTTATGAAATAAAGCATGAAATATCTGGTGTATTAAATTTCTTTCTGGTAATTCTGGTAATTTCTTTCCAAAATAAAAGGGAAGAAGGAGTCCCAATATTTTCTTTCAATCATTTTTTACTTAACATAAATTTCTAAAAGGAAGTATCTATTACCTTTCAACTCAGGATGTTTTCTGAGTCCGACGGACACAAAAAAGCAGTCCATGTCTAAATGCATAATGACATGGGATTGTTTCTTATTTTCCTGAAGATTCCAAGCATCTTGAAGGGGATCTGCATCAAGTGATACAGCATGTTGCTCCGCATATCTCACAAGTTTTTCTCGACCGGAGAAATCTTTTTTGCTCTCAATAAGATACTGAACATAACGTTTCAACTCTTGACCCCCAGTAGAAATATGATGCAATCTTGAATGACCATAAAACTCAGAAAGGAAATCAGGATGTCCAGCTTTCATTGCAAGGTCTGGTTTTTGCAACAAAGTAGAGTCAGTATTCACAACAGTATACGATGGCACAGCACATTTTTTTTCTTGCACATTTGGCAATATTGTATCGCTAGTTTCACATTTATTAATTGCTTCTTCAGAAGAAGATTCTGAATTTTCAAAACAAGGCGGAGAAGTCACTATGTCAAGATCACTATAATCTGCAATAGGAGATTTTGTGGAATTCTCACGTATAGTGTCAGATTCATCGACTGAGTTCAATATTGGTACATAACTGACTGGTTGGTTATCAGATTTTGTAGGTAATTTGTTGAAACATATTGTCCTTTGCTTATCTTTTGTTTCAGGTGAATAAAGTAGATAGTCATGAGTTGGCAACAATTTTCCAGCTTTTATGCTAGATAAAAAATTTAAAAAAATTGAGATCAATTAACAAGCACACTTTGACACCTCAAATATGATGAGAAAAAGTAAAATTCCGAATTGTCAAAATAATAGTCCTAAATCTGTATTCTGACATATTTGAAGAAGATACAATATTGTACTGTAAAATATTCATAGTTTATTACACTTTTCAATATTTACGTTGAAAATCAATATATTTTTTCTTTTGACTAAAGAACAGAAATTTCAATTTAAGAAAAAATTAAACGTTTTTAATTCATCAATGTTAATGAAATCTATTATGTTTATATCTTTTAAACCTGATGTGCAATGATTATTAATGTGAGAATTGCAGAGGCAATCATCAAAAAAGGATGACTCAGAAAATTCATCCTTCTTCAAGTACATTAGAACAGCGGTTTTGAATTTTTTTTTCAGCTACAGAATACAAAATTATCAAACTTCTTTTAGCAGAACACAGACTGTTAAAAAAAAAGTTAATTAGCTGGGGTGAATATGCTAACCAAAAAAGAAAACGCTCAGATCAATTTAGAAACATATTTATTATAACATATTGATTCTTTTCTGTTTGTGTTAGAATATGTTAGTTAAAAAGTAATTTATTTTATGCAATATGTCGAAGGAAACCTATGTTAAAAAAGATACTTTTGCAAACACAAAATTATAAACAAAAACCATACACAGTAGATGACCTATATAATCTATAAACCACAATTTACAATAAACCACATTAACTGTGTTGGTGAAAACAATGAAAATTGCAGTAATGATTTCTATAAGTAAGTGAAAACTACTATAGGGTGCAAAGACAAATTTTTCAATAAAAAATAAACACCTTTTATGCACTAAAAAATATTTTAAGCACTTTAAAAAATGCAAAGAAATAAAATTTCCCTTCCTTAATAAATTCTTCATACATGCAGAGATTTTGTATAAACTTAGAAAAAAAAACTAACAAATTAGAAAAATTATTTAATATAAAATTAAAGACATTTTTTTTTACTTCAAAGTTAAGTTATAACAAAAAGTTTACTTAGAATTAAATTTCTGCTATGTTTAGAACAATGTTTATGATATGAAAGAAATAAACACTGTCCATTAAACATTTAAAAACAAAAACAAAAAAAAACAATATCAAATACCTATCAGTAATCCATGCAGCGGTGACTACAATTTCATTCTTTAAATTCTTTATTTTGCTGCTTGGCAGATTTGATGCAATAATGTGCGTTGTTTTCGAATGTGAATAATAATGATGATATATTCCACCATGCAAACGCATCAATCTCTTAAGTTCATCAGCAGATGGATCTAGACATTTTCAAATAAATAAATAACATTTAAAAAGAAAAGCATGGTTATCAGCATAGTAATTTAATTACAAATGTGTTGCTTTGGCGTTAAGATAAGAATTCAAAATAATTAAAGCGATTAAAAACAATACTTCCAGTAGAAAAACGCGCTAAGCAGCTGAGAATCCAAACGGAATCAAGTTGCCCCAGTCAAGCCTTCCTATTAATGATGTCACTATTTTCTCACTCTTTTTTTCCCTTCCTTCAGTGCAAATTAGGGGACATTGTTTTTATGTTTATTTCAATTTAGTTGTGTCTGGTGGTCAGTAGTGCAATTCGGTTATTGGATTTTTGTTTCAAGTAAGCTTTTGTGCGCATTATTCTTATGTATTTGTCTTGATTTTATACTTTTGTACTTGCTTTATGTATTTTAAATTTTGTATTATAATCTCTTCCTGGACGTTGACAAAACCTTTGGGGTACAGGGAGAGCAATTTAGACATTTGTCATGCTCTCCCAATAGAAAAGATTTTGCTTTTATGGCCTCTGGAGCAGGTACCCACTGAAGAGGTAAGCTTCGGTTGTGATATTTATTCATTTTTCATTATTTCTTTTGCTTTGGTCTTATTATAATGGCACTTGCACCCCACTACTTTTATTTCAATTAAAAGGCAAATAATATTGTGTCTGCATTAAATATATTTCACATAAAGTATTGTTTATAAATTTATTAAACATGTGTAATAAAAATAATTGCTTAGAGCATTTATTTAATAATAAAGTGAAATGTTTCAATACGTCAAAAGTTAATAACAATAGAAACTACTTCCCTTTATTTTATTAAATCAAATACAGTGGAGCATCGTTTATACGGCGCCGAAGGGACCACCGAAAAACGTCGTATAAATGATAACGTCGTATAATCGATTTTTACTTCTAAAACTGAAACTAACTCTGTTTTCAGTTAATTTTAATGTTTAGCGTGTTGATTTGCATAAATTTCTAAATTAGACAAAGCAAAACAAACAAATAACCAAAGAAGAAAAATTGCAGTGTGCAATTTGAATGTATGTTACTTTTAATTATATTTTCTTGCTATTAGTCTCTACAATGCAATGCTTTGAATAGCGAGTTGAACTTACTGCTTTCTATGATGAAATTTTAGATTCTTATCACGGCCAAATCTAATGGCTGAAGCGCACTTGCGCAATTTGCAGGAAAAAAGAGAGCTTTTACATTTTCCAAAATAATTAGTATCGATGGGTGCGCTGGACATTGGTCGATGAATAGCAAAATTTTTATTTTTTCCCTCTTCATAACATTGTCAAGTTTTTTCAGTCATCTAGCAAAAATTACGATCGTCATCCAAGCATTCTTGTTGGCAACCTTTTCTGTATCACTCATGTTGGCAAATTCCGCCCTTTTTTAAAATACGCAAGAAAAAATAAAAAATTAAGTAAACGTGAACAAAATCTAAAAACCGATGTATAACCGACTCCGTGCGTCGTATAAACAATATATTTTTACATTGAAATGAATAGGAATGATTTGGGACCACACTAAAACGTCGTATAAATGTAAACGTCGTATAAGTGATCGTCGTATAAACGATGCTCCACTGTATTTAAAAAATAGAGAAGTATCCACTCAGGGAGATATAAAAAATTAGCTATTATTGACGACACCGATGTTTAACTAATGAGGCAATAAGTATTACTAGCATTATGATATTAAGTGCTGGGATAATAATATGCCTTATTAAGTACTAATGTAAGCTCAGTGGTAATAGTTTTTTACTGCCCCTTTTAATTAATAAATACAAAAAAAATAAATGTTTTAAAAAAACTTCTAGAATCTTCGAAGAACAAATTAACCTTATGGGAGAAGAAACAAAAAGAATGGATATACATAAAAAAATTATATCATATTGAAAGAAATCTAAAAAATCTGGAGTAATTTGCAAATGTGAACTCATAAACATGAATTTACATCTATTTTGCATCTCAGTTATAACAAGAGGAAAATTAAACCCGAAAACAATTCTGTAAATATTTTGACGAAGTACTGAAAAGGAAAACATTTTTCCTTTAAAATATTTTCTCATACATTTGAAGCAAACAACAGAGATATAAATTTTAAGAAATGCTTTAAGAATTTTAAGAATGTTTTAATGTTTCAAGAAATTTTGTTTAATAATCATGAAATATAATCATGAATATTAATAATAATAATCATGAATATTAATAATGAAATTATTAATATGAAAAGGGAAACTTCAATGCATAATGATGAAAAGGGTAGGCAAGACAATATTTTTTAAAAGAATTAATAGCCTTGTAGTTTAAAAAAAAATTATAGGCATATCCAATTTAAATTACATAGTAATTAAAACTTACTAGTATAACCATTTACAAATATGGAGACTTCTTTGAATATTGATGATTGCTGTTCATTTTGTAATTCAATAGGTTGCTGACCTTGAAACTGAGCTTCAAGTTTGGATTTTTTAGCAGCCATATAACCACCCTGATAAAAGAAATATAAATTAATCATACTTCAATAAAAAAAATTTCTTTAATTAAAATATTGAAATCTGAAAGTAAGAATTTTCGCTTTACAGACAAGTTCTGAATAAAAGATTTTTAAATTAATAACATTTTCTTAATGTTAGAAGTCCTAAAGTTTACTTCACTTAACATATTATCGCAATTAAAAACTAAATTAGTCATGAATTTTTATAGTTTTTCACATGAAATTATCTGAAACTCTCAATTTTTTTTTTCTTTACGAACGAAAATTGTACTAACTCTTTTCATTTGAAATATTAAGATTCTAATAAAATACTTTTTTTTTTATGAATGATTATTTTCTAAATTAGGGGTGGGACAACCTGTGGCCTCTCAACTGTTGGTGTGCGTACTGCGGGAGCTTAAGAGCAAAAAAGATACTTTTTTCTTTGAAAAATAAAAAAATTTAAATTTTGAATTTAACCTTTGAGTTATCACTTTTTTTGATCGCTCAATTTGCACAGATTTCTTTATAAATCTATGTTGTCACTTCTTACTTCAGATCACTTTTGGATTTGCTTCATTATTAACGAATTCATCTTAAGTCCAAATTATTTTTAAATAATTTTTTTGACAGTTCTTGCAATAATTTCCCACATGGTTTTAAAAATTCCATTTTTTATTCTGACAAACGAATTTTAAATCCTGCATTTAAATAATTACTCATTAAGGCACTTTATTAGACTAAATTTATTGGAAATTTTGACAATCCCGTTATTTTAACTACAATGTTATTATGATATGCAAGGTTTTAATCGCACATTTAAATAATCACTTCTTGATAGACTCGGATAAAATGAAATACTCTCTGCGACCAGAAAATTACAATTAAAAAACTTTCTGCATACTTTGCGTAGCACATGTAAGTAGTTTCAACCCCTTTCATCACCACCTCATTTTGCGAAATCTTTTTGAAAAGTGTGGATATTCATATTTTATATCTTGCTATTTTTTATTTGAGATATTGCCTACTTTAATAAGAAATACGAATAACTAAGTAATCAAAACAATAAAAACACAACAAATACTCTTTCTTTAGCATCAATAATTTGTTATTATGATCGGATAATAAAATTGATAAACATATTTGTTGTCGAATGCACTACTTAAGTAAGAGGATATGTCACATTTGATTTATAATGAAGGAAAAATAAAAAAGTTTCTTAAACTTTAAACAGTTTGATAGATGACATGTGTAAATTAGTAGACGATACTCCCGTTTCAGGAAACCGTAAAAAAATTAAAAAACTATTGATGCTTAATTAGTTGTGGTAATAGGTACTTGTCTACCTAATACAGGAGCAAATTTTTGTATACAGGGTGGGTAGATAAATCCTTCAACAAAAATAAGCACCTTTTAAGCACTCAAAAAATATTTTTAAGCACTATATACATTAACAAAATTCAAAATAATATTCAAAGAATTTACATGATCATGATAAAATAACTAGTTTTTAACAAAGAACTCTTTTCTTGATTATATCAGCATTTAAAAAATGATCAAGAGATTTTTCAGTTTGATTTCAGAGGATGGAAAATTAATCTTGAAATTGTGAAAATCTTGTAAAATGCAACAGAGTTGCACATGAGAGTGCAAGAATCTTGCAGAACCCAGCTCAGTGCATGCACATACGGGACACAAATATTTAATCAAACCTGTAAAATGATTGACGCTTTCATACACTATGAACCAGTGATACGCTGAAATAGATTGTGGTTGAATGAATTGTAAAAACATTGAATGATATTGTGAAAAGCACACTTTCGGATAATAAGTGGCAAAAATTGACATAACTTTTAGAAAAATCTCATTTTCGAAAGGGAAAAACGCACTCCATGAAAAAAGTACCTTTAAGGGCTTTTAAAAAATGAAAATAAAAAATAAGCACCTTCAAGCACTTTTTAAAAACGCTACGCACATGAGTATAGTGATCTGCAGCAGAATAATCTCCAAGTCTTGACAACTTCCAGGCAGTTGCCAGGTCTGCGAGAAATTACAAAATAACATCACACAAGACCAACTCAAAGTGTGTAACTCATAGCGAACCTTTCAGCAAATCTGTTTTTGTTTTGATCTTTAAATTTGCAAGTTTAAAATCCAATTGGCACCTTGGCAACTATAGCTAGCCAACAGATCAGGAAGTGAAAATAACCCCTCGTTTAGTTTTTGCAGCACCAGTTAAAATACTGCCAATAGCCTGGGAAATGGAGACATTTTTAAATTTATCAAAGTCAGAAACTGATAAATTAAATTATCTTTTGATAAAAACAAAATTTAGTTCATAATAAAATTCTACAAATTTGATTTGTTTTAAAAATTTATTATGAGAATTGTTACTTTTACTAAAAAACTGAATAATTACTGACTAAACTTAAGTAACTCAGTCCCATATTAATTTAATTAATTGGGAAAAATTATTAAATTTATTTACCCATTCTTCGAATCCATTCGTTCGTTTACGACGTTTCTTGGTTTTTGTATTTGACTTTGCATCATCTTCACTTGAGGACATGGTATTCAACAGAAAACCTTCAATGACGAAATTGCTTAGCTTATGAATGATATTTCTGAACTAAAAAGTTAAAAGAAGTAGGAGTGAAGGCTTAAAGCTATCGACCCTGTAATAAATAAGTTCATATGAAGAAAAAGAGTAATAACTTATACAAAGTAAATTTTTATTTTTTTTAATGTAATGAAATAAAAATATATTGATATAATTTTAAAGCGAAAGCAAACTACAATGTTACTTTTCAGTATAAAATTACATTCAAATGTATTTAAAGAAGTTCGTATTAAGAGGAAGTGAAATTAGTCAGAGAAAGTAAATTTTCATTTTTAAAAGCAATGAAATAAAAATATTAATAACATTTTAACTCGAAAACAACCTATAATTTTAGTCAAAAGTGTTCCCGGGTCAAAATTGTATTTGTCTATCCAGCATAAGGTAAACAAAATGAAAGTTGTAGTTCTTAGCATTTTGTAATCTAATCTATTTATATTTTAGCTTAATCATAATTATAGAGGGCGCTTTAAAAAATAGAGTTTTTAGACAAAAAATTAAGTTTTGATGTTTGCTTGTAGTTACAAATACTTTGCTGATAAAGTTTTGTGTCTAATTTTGAACTTAAATGAGTAATTTCTAAAGATAAGATACCCATTATTCAAAATGCAAAAATTTATTTAAAAAAATAAAATGTTATCAAAATAATATAGGATAAGCAAAAGGTCCGGAGAAAAAAAAAACAGGTTTTAAATTATTCCTGAGATTTAAGAATTTTTTAAAAATTCGCTAAATCTCCGAATTTAAGAATCAGGCACACTCAATAAAACTTAAAAAAAAAAAAAAAATTGACTCAAAACATATTTCAATATTTTGCACAATAAGTAGATGTAAATTTTTTTTTTAAAAAAAAAGAAGTTCTGTCTTACATTATCTTACTAGTTTTTGAAAAATATGCCCCCCCCCCTTGACTCTGAAAAGATATTCCTGCGGTCCAGAAGCAGAACATGATAAAAAAAATTTCTCTGATTGTTCACAAAAAAAAAAAAAAAAAATTATTTTGCTTACCAATTTTTCGAAAGAAAATGTGATATAATTTTACACAATGATTAAAAAAAGAAGTGCCCAGATTACATGCTACACCAGTCTCATATGATCGTACTATTAGTCTTTCGATGCTTTATATATATTTAGTGTAACCGACGGATTCAAATTTTGTATTTTGCGCATAGAATTTAAAAGAAAATTTAATTGTTTCATGTTCCGATATAAACATATCTGCGGTTTATTATGAAAAAAATGCACATCTATTCATAATAAACCGGTCAAATGCATCCCATGTGTCAAAAAAATTATATCCAAAATTTGCAATCCGTCACCCAGAGAATACAATAAACATGCGAGATCAGGGGTGCTGACTTGAAAGACACGGAAGGTCGTTGTGATCTTCCAAAGATTTCTCTATCCCGCAAATCTTGTATCGCCATTCTGCATATTTACAAAATTTCTTTTTCTCTCTTTTTTTAGAACAATGAAATGAGTCAGTACACAGTAGGGGAGAGTGGGGTCAATTGTAACAGGATACGAAAGTAACAAAGCAAAAATTTCGAGTGTCGGTTTCTAGACTTGGCTCCTAGGTGGCGCACAAAGTGTATTTAATAAATCTACATGTACACACTTGCTGGCAACCATTTTTATGTACTTTTGAAAGAGTTACATCACAAAAGATATTTTCACGCTACGTAAGTACTTTTTTTGGTATTAGAATATTATATTGTAACAAAGTAATTTTGTTTAAACAAATAAAAATTATTAACCGAATATGTAAGTGGACACCTTAATTAACATTTCAA